GTACTTGTAGTGCTCTGTAGCCACCGGTGGGCTCCATCGGAGCAGATCCTCATCACCATCAGCAACCATTCCTCGGAGTCGGCGCTGGAAAGCAACAGAGGTGAAGATGTGCTTGGGATGGGCCGCTCAGCAGCGGGACGCACACCCCGAAGACGCAGCCGAATCGAGAGAGCGGCATGATCCGAGATGCCCATGGAGCACAGGTGCTCAGGCGTGTCCACGGTGTTAACCTCAGTCATGAGCTGACACATCATCCAGCCTGTGGCAGAACAGAAGAAGCGGTCGATGATGTTGATGGAATTGGTGAACTTGCAGAAATGGGTCGCCGCTTCAGAGTTAATCTCCATCATCTTGCCAAGTGTAGCCGCCCAGATTGGAGCATGTACTTTATGATCATGAGTCAACTGGCGCTGTACTCCAGTAGGTCGGTGAAAGATGAGAGAAGAATCGTAACTGTAGTTGAGATCCCCCAAGACAACCACAAAGTACGAGAGTGGGTCATCAGCAGCGTGACGCAGAGCACAATCGATCTGCTCACAGACAGATTGTACCTCCCCCTTGGTCAGGCCGTGATTGTGAACGTTGAAGATCACCAGCTGTGTCTGCCCAAGTGCTACATCAACACGAAGCACCCTGCCTCTGACAAGAGGCACCGCACAGCTACTGACCGAAGTGGATGAGAAAGGAGGAAGAACGACTGCAACTCCCCCAGAGCCGCGGACAACCTCGCCGTCGTCATCTTCACAAAAGCTACTGTGGACAATGGCCGTGGAGGAAAGCCTGGCCACGAAGTCGTTCAGCTCAAATCGATCAGCATGCACTTCTTGGAGAGCCAAGATGGATCGCCCAGGTTGAAGTTTGCTTAGGTAAGATAGCTTAGGCGAGGCTTTCGCCCCACCAAATTGGAGAAGAGCGCGTGCATTCCAAGTCATGAATGTGAGGCTGGCTGTGATCTCTCCGCCGACCTGCCCCACTGGAAGCACAAACATATCAGTGATGGCGTCAAAGACACCACTGGGTGGCCGACGGCGCGGCGGTGATGTTCCGAATAGCCTCCTGGAGGTCACGACGGTCCAGGCCGAGGGCGCGGATTCCCACGTCGTTCCAAGAGAGCTCAGGGGGTTCATCTCCTGGCCGGGGGACAAGCCGCAGGATGTCGGTGTAGTCAGACTTGAGAACACTCCGCTCCCGATCAACAAACCACTTTCTCTGACTGTCGAGCTCCATGAGGGAAGAACGGACCTTACGAAGGAGCATCTCACCACGAACCTGTTTCGGCGACTTGTCAGGACCAAAGTGAAGACGGGCTGGGTCCGCACCTTGAGCTGGGCACTGGAAGACCCGCCATGCTCCGTCCGACTTGAGGTTAGCGAGGGCCTTTTGCACACGTCGGGAGGCCAGGCCGATCGGCCCAGAGAAGCACACGGCAAACTTTTTGGCGGGGAGCGGCGTGAGGGCTTTGATCGTGTACGTGTCGTCCTCAGAGAAGTTGAGCTCGCCCATGAAGGAGTTGACCACCTCACGGACGCCAGCCAGGCCGACGAGCTTGGACGAGACCACAATGACCTGCGCCGGGTCGATCTCGCGGTCGAAACCAGGTGGGGCAGGGGGACGCGACGGAAGTTGACGGTCCAGCTCACCCTGGCGGCGTAGCTCCTCGACCTGCTTCTGCAGCTCAGCCAACTTGGCAGCCTGGGCCTCGATGTCCCGCTCAGTGTAGTCGACACGACGGGATAAAGCGTCATGCTGCTCCTGAAACTGGCGCTGCATGGTATCAAACTGCGGACGCACAGATGCCATGACCTGCTGATCAATGGAGGTGTGCTGCGAGGAAAGCTGCTTCTGAAGAGTGGCGAGCGTGGCAACGATGGGAGCGTTTGACTGCTGTACAGAATTGGTGATGGCCGTAGTGACGATATTGTCGAACTCATTGCGCAGCTGCATGAACCTCGCGGAGATGTCGGCATGGTAGAAGGCCCGAGTGAAGGCAGCATGCTCCTCCTCTTCGCCACAATCAGCAGCACCACCAGCAACAGCCTGCGCCCGCGGGGTGGCGCCCGCACCCGCCGCCGCGGCCCAGGGGTCGAAAAGCCTAGCAGCAGGGCCCTGCGGGGTGGCGTTCGGGTCGGGTCGCGCCTCCTGCGACGGGAAGGTAGCGGCCATCTCGAGTTCTGCAGCCACCTGTGCACGCTTGGAATCGTCCCATTCGTCCAAGGGAATAGCTTGAGCACCGCGAGATGCTCCCAGAGCCGCAGGGTCGGGGCCCCGATGCGAGGCTGCAACACCAGGAGACATAGGGACGTCCCCGCCAGCGCCACGAGCGCGGCCAGCACGGCGAGCACGGCGAGAGGGCTCAGGAGCAGGGCCAGCATTGCCGTGGGAGGAAGGCCGAGCGCGAGCTGCACGACGAGCACCACGGCTGCCACCGCTCCGAGAGGCAGAGCGGCGGGGTTCCTCAGAGGAATCACGGCCTCCAGAGGAAGCAATCTCCGTATCAATATCGTCACCCCCATCGAGACGATGCACGACATGGTGTGGGCGGTCGCAGGCGGCAGGGCCCATGGCGGCTCAGCTCGCGTCGTTGTAGCCAAAATTGGAAGCGTGCTGGGGCGCACGGCAGGGAGGAGAGAGGCGTCCTGGCCTCGGAAGGTTCGGGCCTCCCTGTCGCCTGCGACAAGGCTGAAGCCCCAGGGCAGGTTTCAACCTTGAGCCAAATGGACCTCGCGAGAAGGGCTCGGTCGGAGGCTCGGCAGGAGGAGGAGGGGGGGGAGGGAGAGGGGAGGAGATCGACGGCGGAGGGGAGGCGAGGAGGAGGAGGGACGACGGGAGGGATGTGGGGAGGGCAGGAGGGTGGCGAGGGAGGGAGGGAGGGAAGGGTGCTGGCAGCCCCAGCGGACAGACCGAGACGACCCACTAACCACAAACCGGGCGCGTTCTTCCCCACATCCTGTGTGTGCTGTCGAGGTCGGCGGGTGTCCCACGAGGGGGACCTCTGAAAAATCCGCTTTAGTTTGGCGCTTGCGTTCGCCTGACGTGCCCTCCAGGTCGGGGTGATCTGGAAGGGGGCCGGATGAACACTACCATCGGAATGTGTCGGGGTAGACGTATGTCACCCGGTTACTGGGGACTCGGAAATCCCGGACGACGGTCGTCATAAAATTTGACGAGGGCCGAGCCTGCAATTTTGACTCGAGGTCCGTCAGAAATCCCACGTTAATACTCCCTCGTGTCTCACATCTCGTAATCACACGAAGTCGCCCGGTCGTCAATAAAAAAGACATGCGGAACCCTCGAGTTAGCTGCGCACGGGCAAACCCGGGTCTTACGCTCCCCCGAATGTGTACGGTCGGACCTAGGACAGAAGAACATCCCTCAAGAACTTGAGGCCCTCCGCCAGCCCAACCACACAGAACATCCAAGGGTGCCCTCCCCGGGATGCACAAGAGCATCCAACAGACACGAAGAACGCTAGGGTACCCTCCCCGAACCGACCTCGATCTTATACCTTGGTCCGGCTGTAGCCGTGTTCGGTGGGGGCGTTCGTTGTGAAGGACCGTGGCCAGGAGGCTTCGGACCCTGGAGAAATCCCTTCTCGGACGGGGGCGGCGGCGAAATCCAAGGCAAGCCTCAATTGGGGTTCCACAGGCTTCCAGACCCTGGGTTCCTTACTTGAAAAGGATTCCTGGACCAACGGCCTCCCCGTAGCCTAGACTTTCAAGTGCACGAATGCGTAGAATGAAATCAACAAGGGATGCTTGTCCTCACAACAACATAGATCAGCTCGATGGAATGGCCCACCGTCGGATGTCGGTGGGATTGCAGAAGATACCAAGCGCACGACCGCGTAGCCGTTTGACTCGGTGGCGTACATTGCTTCCCCACATCCAAAGTGGGGTTCTTGTTTTCTCTAGACACCCCGCGCAGGAACAAGAGAACACCCACACTCTCTCCCCCCCAAAAAAACACACACTCACACACTCACGCACTCACTCACCCACCCACACACTCACACGCACACACTCACTCACCCGCCCTCAACATTATGCGTGCGCGTGTAAGTGATGATGATGGTGTGGGTGATGATAGTGCTGTGAGTGATGATGGTGATGATTGTGATGTGAGTGGCGATAATGATGATGATGATGACGACGATGACGATGACGATGTGAATGAAGATAATGGTGGGAGTGGGGGTGATGATGGTTTGAGTGATTGAATGAAAATTGTGATAAGGATGTAATGAGATGAGGAGGTTGATGGTGTGATAAATGGTGATGGTGTGTGGCTCATTGCGTTGGTGAATGTGCGACGGGAGAAGAACTCATGAGGTCTGTCTCGACTCATTGAGTGAGTGAATGAAGACGATGATGATGATGCTGACGATGATGTGTGTGAGTGAGTGGGTGGTAGGTGGTGAGTGAGTAAGGGAGTGATGGTGATGAGTGAATGTGAATGTGTGGGCGAGTGAATGAGTGTGCAAGTGATTATGTGGTGGTGGTGATGATGTGCGTGTGTGCGTGTGTGAGTGAGTGACTGCGTATGTATGTGGTGAGTCAGTGAGTGACAAGAGAGGAAGTGTTCCTGTTCCTGTGTTCCTGCGTGGGGTGTCCAGAGAAAACAAGAGCCCCACTTTGGATGTGGGGAACAATTAAGGGCCCCTAAATTTGGGAAGTCTCTACAGAATGGTTGGCTTCACGGCTCAACACGGCGTCAAGGTAGTTGCAGGGAGCTCTCAGACCACCCAAGCAAACTCACGCAACCACCAACAGAAACGGCCAGAGACGGGCTCCAGGAAGCCCCCAGCACCGCCCAACGACGGCCCTGAAGCCCCCAAGACGGGACCAAGAGGCCGACGACGACGACGACGGCGACGAGGAGGAGGAGGAGGAGGAGGAGGAAGAGGACGACGACGAGGACGACCACGACGACGACGACGACGACGGCGGCGGCGGCGACGACGACGACGACGACGGCGACCACGACGGCGACCACGGCGGCGAGGCACGAGGCCGCGCGCCTCCCGCGGCGGCGGGGCCGGCGGGGCCGGCGCCGCCGCCGCGGCGGCGGCCCGCAGCACGGGCAGCATGTCCCGCAGCTCCTCGCGGCGGCGGCGGCTCCGACGGCCACGACGACGACGACGACGACGCCGACGCCGACGACGATGACGCCGACCACGACGACGGCGACCTCGACGACGACGACGACGCCGACGACGACGACGACGCTGACGCCGACCACGACGACGCTGACGCCGACCACGACGACGCCGACCACCACGACCCAAACCTTCTCGGTCACGGCCACCTACCTGTCTTTGCCCGTGTTCGGCCTCTAGAGGGCTCGGGCCCTGGGGCCGTCGCTGAAGCAGCTCAGAATGAAACGCCCGCCCCTGGAAGGGGTCCAGACCTCTGGGGGTCCACCCTGTGAGAAAATCACAACGCCACGACGACGACGACGACGACGACGAGGGCGAGGGCGAGGGCGAGGGCGAGGGCGAGGGCGAGGACGACGACGACGACGACGACGACGACGACGACAACGACGACTGGCGGGGGAAAGAGGGGGACGCAGGACGCGCGAGTCCGATAGGCCCGTTGGGAGTTGCGCAGGCGGGACATGGCTCTGCCAAGAGCACACGTGATCTGGGAAGACGTCTTTCCCACTGATTCCACGGTTCGACTGGTCACCACCACTAGCCAGTCATCCTGCGGCAGCACCGCCCAATGGTGCTACCGCAGGATGGCTGGCTAGATGGAATTGTCCACCAACGTTTGCGCTGCCCGCCATGTCTGCATCATGCTGTCTGGTTTCAGGGGTATCAGGCTCTCCTAGCTGCAATGAGTCTGGACCACCTGTGCCGGGTCTGTTGATACTAGCCCTGAGACTCGCAATCTGTTTTAGGGGCTTGTGTTGCCAAGTCGTCCACGTGGAGTCGTGCCGGGAGATCTGTGGCTGCATGAATCGTTATGCGAATGAAATCCCCCGACGTTTCCAGGCCAGAATCATGCTCGACGTCGCCGAAGTCCACTTGCCTTGCGGCATTGTTCGCGCTGTCGCTAGTGCTATTGTCGTGGTGGGTCAGGTCGGAGCTGTGGTGGCGCCAGAGGTTTTAATGGACAAGTACTCGTTCGGTGCCTAGGCGTCTTCACCTCAAATCGCTGCACGCGGCTGAGCGCGTCATACGTAATGTCAGGACCACGCTCTTGGTGAGTGTCCAGGATGTGCAGCCGTGCATGACGCTTGGTGGCACTGTGCCGACGCATCATCGAAAGCTGATGTGACGCGGGTACAGACTGCATATAACCTCGGTGCGGATGCTGGTGACATCGGCGCGGTGACAAGCAAGGAACGTCGGCTGGCCAAGGCCATTCGCGCTCTGGCCGTCGCTGCGCATTTCGACCTTGTCGCCATCAATATACGTGCGAGTTGTTGTTCACCCATGCCACCTGCTTACATGTGTGATGAAGTTGGTCTTGTCATGGAGCGAAGCAAGCCCTGATTTGGAACCTGTGCCCCGCACTCAAAGTCTTGCACATTTCACGTACGTTGTCTTTGGCTGGGCGGGAGTGCAGGTGACGAAAGCACCCCACTGCAGAACGCATGGGCGTATCATGCCCAGCAATGGTGATCATTATCATGCGACGTACCCAACCCATTTGCACCAAGTGGCAAAGTGACTTGGACTGCATTAGCATGGATGGTGACAAGGCGGGAACCGTCATTTGTGCAAGCTACATGGGATGCGCGCGACGCCCAAGGCTCGCAGAGGAATAAAGGCGGCTGGCAGGACGGAAAGAGCCAGGTATCTAAGAGTCAGAAGTCAAGAAGAACAGGAGGGAAGAGAGAAGAGGGGACGCGGGAGGAAGGTTGGACCCAACGCAGGAAGGAATATTGGAAATAACCAATTGAAACCAATTCGCATCCAAATCTCAACTTGGTTGATCAGATCTGAGCGGCTCACCAGGTTTGACGCCCGTTTGTGGCGTCGGTCATCACTGTGGCTGCCTGCTCGCTGTAGAATTTCTGCGGCACGGTGATGTAGGGTGCCTGTGTATCATGGTCACGTCGAGCTTTCAAAAGGCAATTGCTGCCCACGGAACCACATGATGCTTGGAAGCCGGCCAAAAATGTCCAAACATTGAACTGTCATTTGCAAGACTGCTCCTATGACGATTCGCGGTCCAAAACCGTTCTTACGAAAAGCTATTCTTACAAAAGAAATTTAGTCGGGCAAATGCTGCGACCAAGTGAGCAATGAGTCCGTTGCAAAGTAGTCGGGGCTAAACTTGTGCAGCATCAGCAGTATACTTGCGATTGGTATGTAGATGTTCGGACTCTGTGGGTCGACTGGTCACTCTGGTGTGTCGCTGTTGCTCCGGCGGTGCCTGACGTCTTGTAGCTTCGACACATTCTGTTCAGTTGAACGCCCTCCTGCGTTGAGAAGCCCCACTGTGAAGCCAGCCATGTGTTTTATTTGTGGCATTGTTGAATTGCTTCACAGCTTGATTTCGTCGGGGCTGAAAGGAAGAACACCCTGTCGGGTGTGATTTGTCGCGTTATCTCTGGCGTCGGGGTTGCATTATCCTGCGCGGGCCAACGAGCCTCCCGAGAGCGCCAGTAGAATTCACCGTACTAGTCACCAAAGAAATCAACATCCAGAAACTCTGTAGAGGCCAAGAAGCAATTCTGTATCGTGGAGCGCCGCTCTCTGTTGAGCTCCCACTGGAGGCACATCGGCACCGCAGGATACGTTTGCTGAGGGCTGGGAGCTATCCTGGTGGCTCTGTCGCTGCGCGGTGTAGCGCCCCGCTGCGCAAGTGCCGCCCAATGCGACCTGGCCCCGTCGTCGCAAAAGCTGCGCATCTGCTGCCGTTCGTGTTCTTGTTGCGTCCCCGCCTGGGGTTGATTATCTGCGAGGGATGCTGAGGTGTTTGCTCGGTGTGTGTGTGTGTGCGTGTGTGTCTTAGTGTGTGTGTGTGTGCTTTTGTGTTTGTGTGTGTGGTGATTGTGCGTGTGTGTGTGCTTAGCCCCCACAGTGGAGCGGTCAGCTGGCCCAGATGGACCAACTGACTGCGTGGTCTTGTGTGTGTGTGCGTGTGCGTGTGCGTGTGCGTGAGCACGTGCAAGTGCAAGTGCATATGCTGTGCGTGTGCCTGTGCGCGTGCGTGTGCACATGCGCGTGCGCATGCGCGTGCGCGTGCGCGTGCGCGTGCGCGCGCGCGTGCGCGTGCGCGTGTGCGCGTACGTGTGCAAGTGCGTATGCGTATGCGCGTGCGTATGCGCGCGCGTGCGCGTGCGCATGCGCATGCGCGTGCGCGTGCGTGGGTGCGGGTGCGGGTGCGGGTGCGGGTGCGTGCGATTGTGCGTGTGTGCGCGTGTGTGTGTGTGTGTGTCTGTGTGTGTCTCTGTGTGTGTGTCTCTGTGTGTGCCTGTCTCTGTGTGTGCGTCTCAGTGTGTGTCTCTGTGTGTGTGTCTCAATGTGTGTGTGTGTCTGTGTGTGCGTGTGTGTGTCTCTGTGTCTCTGTGTGTGTGGGTGTCTCTGTGTGTCTCTGTGTGTGTCGCTGTGTATGTGTGTCTCTGTGTGTGTCTGTGTGTGACTCTGTGTGTGTGTCTCCCTGTGTGTGCCTGTGTGTGTCTTGGTGTGTGTGTGTCTATGTGTGTGTGTCTCTCTGTGTGCCTCTGTCTGTGTGACTTTGTGTGCGTGCGTGTCTGAATGTGTCTGTGTGTGTGTCTGTGTGTGTCTATGTGTGTCTGTGTGTGTGGGTGTGTGTGGGTGTGTGTGTGTGCGTGTGTGCGCGTGTGTGTGCGCGTGTGTGTGCGTGTGCGTGTGCGTGTGAGTGTGCGTGTGCGTGTGCGCGTGTGCGTGTACGCGTGTGCGCGCGCGCGTGTGCGTGTTTGCGTTTATTAGCTTCTGTGGTGTTGCTGTGTGCTGTGTGCGTGGCGTGTGCGTTGTGCGAGTGCGTGTGCGTGTTCGTGTGCGTGTGCGCTTGTGCGTGATGCGTCCGATTTCTATTCTGATGCGCGGTGGGCGCGTGCGTTGTGGATGTGGTGTGTGTGTGCAGGTGTGTGTGGGTGTGTGGGTGTGTTGTGTGTGGGTGTGGGTGGACGTGGTGTTGATTGTGCGCGTTCTTTGATGTGTGTGGGGTGTGTGTGGGTTCGCTGCGGGAAATGTGTGGCGGGTGGTGTTGGGTCGTGTGGGTGTAATGTGGAGTGTGTGGGTGTGTGGAGTGTGGGTGCTGTGTGGGTGTGTGGGTGTGGTGGGTGCGGTGTGTTGTGGGTGTGTGGGCTGTGTTGGGTGTGTGTGGGTGTGTGGAGCTGTGTGGGTGGTGGATACTGTGTGGGTGGTGTGGGTGGTGTGGGTGTGTGTTCTTCCTGTTGTGTGCTCGTTGGTGCGTGCGCGTGAGCGCTGTGTGTGTGTGGGTTGTGGAGTGTAGTTGTGTGTCTAGTGTTGTGTGTTGTGTGTCTGTCGGTCTGTTTGCAGGGCGTCGGTGTGTCCTGTGTGTCTGTGTGGTGTCTGGTGTGTCTTGTGTGTCTCCGCGTGTGGGGTGCCGGTGGCGCGCGTGCGTGGAGCTGCGCGTGTTGGGTAGTGCGTGCGCGTGCGCGTGCGCGTGCGCCGGTTGCTAGCTACCCGTGCCGCGTGCACGCGGTGCGTGCGTGTAGTGCGTTGCGTTGCGTGCGTGCCGCTGTGTGTGCTGTGTGTGGTTGTTGTGCGTGTGTGGGTGTGTGGGGTTGTGTCTGGTTGTGGGGGTGCGGATTGTGTCATCATGGGCATGTTGTGTGGAGCGTGGGTGGGCCGTGTGTCTGTGTGGGGTGTGTGTGTGTGGGTGTGTGTGTGTGGGTGTGTGTGTGCTCTTCTCTCCTCCCTCCCCCTCCTGCTCCCTCCCCACTCCTCACTCCTCCGTCCTCCTCCATACCCCCCCCCTCCCTCATCCGTCCTCCATCTCCGTCCCCGCCCCAGACGCGCTCCGCGCACCAGGGAGAGAGTCCAGCGCCAGTCCAAGATCCGCACACATGTTCGAACGTTTTATGCTTATGCTGATTTTCAGTTTCGACTCTTCCGCATCCTCGTCCTCCTCGTCCTCAACATCAGCATCAACATCAGCGCCATCGTCCCCGTCATCATCGGCACGCTCAGGCTTGATCACAGGGGTCCGAGATAAGGGTGTAGTAGGTTCCTGGGACGCCCAGGCTGAAGCCCTTTTTGAGAGGCGCACGGTTCGCGCGAACATTGCCAAGGATGGGCAGGAGATGCAAGGATGTAAGGGTACACTTGGAAAGTAGTTCGCAGTTTGCTATGCAGTTTGACTACAGCATCACCATCATCGTCATCATGCTCGTGGTCGTCGTCAGCACCGTCGTCAGCGTCGGCGTCGTCTTCGACATCATCATCCCCCACCGTCCTCACCCTTCCTCCTCCTCCTCCTTCTCCTCCTCCTCCTCCTCCTCCTCGCCCTCTTACTGGTCCTCGAACTCCCTGGAACCCCCTCAACCCAGCGGACAATATTCGAGAATCCAATGAAACGCTCCATACCACACCAAAGTCGGTTTTGATCCATATCCTGGCGAACCCTTCCATACCCCAGTGAACCCTGTCCATGCCCCGGTGACACCAGGGAATGATCCAGCTTGCGGGCGTTACAATAGCAAATGTTTCGAAGTGGGTCGTCCTAGAAAGGTATGAAAACCAACCTGGTACGCTTATGGTATGCTTTTGTGTAACCATTGAAATTGCCCAACAGTCACCGGGGAACTGATCAGTCGGTGCGCGTTGTAGTAGCATTAGTAGTACTAATGGTAGCAGTAGGTAGTAGTAGTAGTAGTAGTAGTAGTAGTAGTAGTAGTAGTAGTAGTAGTAGTAGTAGTGGTAGTAGTAGTAGTAGCAGTAGTAGTAGTACGAGTAGTAGTAGTAGTAGTAGTAGTAGTAGTAGTACTCGTAGTAGTAGTAGTACTACTACTAGTAGTAGTAGTAGTAGTAGCAGTAGCAAGTTGTAGTAGCTATAGTTGTAGTAGTTGTGGTTAGTTAGTAGTAGTAGTAGTTGTAGTTAGTAGCTTAGTAGAAGTAGTAGTTAGTAGTTGTAGTAGTTCGTAGTATAGTAGTAGTTAGTAGCAGTAGTAGCAGTTGTAGCGCAAGAACTCGTAAGTGGTATAGTTGTGGTAGTAGGTAGTGTTTGTAGTTAGTAGTAGTAGTAGTATGTAGTAGTAGTTAGTAGTAGTAGTAGTGGCAGTTTAGTAGTAGAGTGGTAGTAGTAGTAGTAGTAGGTAGTGGTAGTAGTAGTAGTAGTAGTAGTAGCACAGTAGTGCAGTGCTCGTAGTACTAAGTACTTCATAGTATAGTACTAGTACTAGTACTAGTTCTAGTACTAGTGCTAGTAGTAGTAGTAGTAGTGGTAGTAGTAGTAGTGGTAGTAGTAGTAGTAGTAGTAGTAGTGGTAGTAGTAGTGGTAGTAGTAGTAGTAGTAGTGGTGGTAGTAGTGGTAGTGGTAGTAGTAGTAGTCGTAGTCGTCGTCGTCGTCGCAGTAGTAATACTAGTCGTAACAGAAAAAAATGTCGTAGTGGTAGGGGTAGTCGTAGTAGTAGTAGTAGTAGTAGCAGTAGTAGTAGTAGTAGTAGTAGTAGTAGTAGTAGTAGTGAGAATGATAATACTAGTCGTGGCACTCGCAAAAGTAGTCTTAATCGTAGTAATTGTGATACTAGTAATCGTAGTGGTAGTCGTAAGAGTAGTAGTGGTAATGTGGTAGTAGTAGTAGTGGTAGCAATAGTGGTAGCAATAGTAGTAGTTATTGGTGTGGTTGTGGTGGGAGCCGTAGTAGTATCTTAATTGTAATCGTAACAGTAGTAGAAGTAGTAATAGCAGTAGTCGTAGTAATAGTGGTGGTAGCGGTAGTAGGAATAATGGAAGCCGTAGTGGCATTGCTAGTAGCAGGAGGAGTAGTCGTAATAGTCGTAGTTTGTAGTAGAACTAGTATTTTTTTGCAACCGCCTGGGGCCAGGATGCATCATGACGTGCACCAGGTTCCAGGGAGAGTGCGGAGGACGGGCCAGGCCCAAGGAGGAGGGACTGACATGAGAAGCAGCTGGAGGGCACCCCGCGGTGCGTGCTCCATGTCGGCCTGTCTACCTGGCCACCATGTCATAAGGCGGCAAATGAAACAAGCGGTGGTCGGTTCGCCAGATCGCGCGCGACTGAGCACATGCATGGCCCAGCGCTGCCACCGCGGCCAGGGGGAGGGCTGGGCGGAGGGAGGGGGAGACAGAGCAGCAGCAGCAGCGGCAGCAGAAAACATTGAGGAACGAATCATCAATCATTTGAGGAGCAGTAAGAGCTTATGCAACAAATTCGGAACGACTATCAAGCGTCAACGAATCGACCATGACACATGTATGACACGTGCGCGATTCACAGACGAACATCACAACGTAAACGCCAACAAAACGCGTATGAAGGGCATACGCCAACGCAGCGTAAATGCAACGTATGCAAAACGCCAATGAACATAACATGAACCCCAATTGACACGTATTCAGAACGCATGCGCAAATGGGCACGACACATATACGGAACGCATAAAGAGCATGCACATCACGCATGTGACACGTACACGCAAAATACATTAAGCCATGCGAACGTATACGGCACGTCTACGGAACACATGCGCAACGTGTGCGACGCATGGACAAAACGTATGGAATTCGCACGCGGAACGCATGGGACACGTGTATGGAACTTACTCAACACGCATACACATCGCATACGGAACGCGCCAAACTACGAAACGCGCATGCGAGACATATCAAACACGTAAGAACTGCTAAGGACCGCCGTACACTAAATAACGCCTTCACCACTGCAGAAGCATTCCTTAAACACTGGTAAAGAACGCCGTCAAAAGCTGATAAGGAGAACCGTGAAATCTACTAAGGCGCGCTTTGAACAATACGATGTAAACCTTCAATCAGTTCACTATCTTCAGAACCTAGAACAGGTGAGTGGACCAGATCACTGTGGAATGGACCAGCTTACCAGGCAACGAACAGTTTTTTCCCATAAAATCTTAACCATCCACCGCTCTGCTCCTCTCCTCAACTAACATGCGGCTTAGACGGTTGGTGGCTAGCTAAAGGAGCTTGGTCGATGAAGGCGGTCTTCCATAGGGGGCAGATGAACCCCCACATCATGAGCACTACTGTAACTGAGGTCCGTCAACAAACCGCGCATGGTGCAAGAATCGAACTGAGCAAGGCTGGTGAATGAACACATGGGCCAATATAGTAAACGTAAAATATGAGGGTCGGGTTACTCCTCTGAAACCCTTTCTCGCCAGCACGCCCGAGAAAACTGCCGCCGTGGATTAAATAACCCCTATCATTATGTTTCTCCCGCTGCGTCTGGAAAGCATTGGCTTGCAAGTTCCTAGTTCCTGAATTATGGAGCCACTTTCTGGGCCGCGCCCAGCCGCAGCGACGGAATCCTCTAGAGACTCTGACGAAAAAGCGCGAAGTCGACCGCGACGACCGCCCAAAAAACGTGAAGACGACGATGTCGACGTTATCGACTCCAAAACCAAGCAGGGAATCGACGACGACGACAACGACAACGACGACAACAACGACGACAACAACGACGGCGACGGAGACGATGACTGGAGGCCTCCCGAATCAGGTCAGAGGATCGCGCCGCATCGCAGATGCATCGGCGATGCATCAGCGATGTATCGGCGATGTGTCGGCGGCTCCGGCGCGGAGAGAATCGGGCTCCACATCGAGCCGCGTTGTTGTTGCATCGGCGATGCGCCGCGATCCTCATCCTATATGTCGGACCTAGAGACGACGGCGGCGACGATCTCGACCGCCCAAGAGTCTCGAAAACGATGGCGGCCGTCGCGGTCACCGACGGCCGCGCCCCTGGCGGCGGGGCGCGTGCGACGCCCGAGCGGCCCATCCAGCGGGCAGGGGAGCCCCGTGCGCTCCTCGTCGGCTTATTTTGTCCTCTTTCGGGGGAGGGGGGAATGCAGGGAACTCGCGAAGCACCAGCCGATCGAACGTTGTGCCTGGTATTACTCGTCGTCAGCTGCTTGCACCGCAGCAGGCGGACAAATCCTGCCCCCAACATGACAGTAGGAGTACATCCGCGTGTCATGGACACAGTGGCTGGGGGGTCGTTTCCGCCTCTGCTTATGAGTGCGCTCCTCGTCGGTGCAGTGGCAGCCGTCATCCGACTCGTCGTTAACCAGCTCCACAAACCTGTCGAAGCTCACCCCGCCGCCTGCCGGGAGGCACGGCGGGGGTCGGCCAAATGACGGCGTCTTGCGCTCCCGCTTTCGGCTCGGAGGCCGCCCGAATGTCCGAGCAGATAGGGCAGGAGGATTGCGCTGCATCGCCGATTCATGACCGATTGATCGGCAATGCCTCGGAGACGTCGGCGTGGAGAGGGTCGAGCTCCGAATCGAGCCGCATCGCTGATGCATCAGCGATGCGGTCGGTGTGACTCTCCGACCCCATCAACTGCAGCCCTGTCTGGGCGGCCTGGATTCGGCAGCACGCACGAGTGCCCTTAGGCAAGAGCGACCTCTGGTTCGCGTGAACCAATACTGTAGAATGCGGATCAGGTGCACACCAGGAGGGATCCCCCCATATTTTATGAGGGGTGGACCAGGGGGGAGAGTATGTTTGTTGCTCGATCTAACCCCAGGTAACGCTGAACAAATCTTTCACGACCCTCTTCTTCTGGCTCTGAAGCTTGGCAAATGCCGAGGTGCCAGGAGGCAAGGCGTGCTGCGATTGTCTCGGCTGCTGCAAACAATCGCGATTCAAACACTTCAGGGCGCTCCCTTCTCGAATGCCGCACTGCCTGACTGGCGATGCGGCCACAGCCAAGGCAAAGAGTGCTCCCGAAATCCCCTCGCTCTCAGAAGTTATCCGAGAGTGCTGGAGCTGTGAGGCCCATGGCCGTTGATGGTGCCCTTTGCCCGCACCACGATCGCTGCTCGAAGCAGCCCCCCGTGGCAGGGTGTGGCCGGACCCCACGCCCTCGTGACATCGAACCTGTGAGCCGACCCCGAGCACAGGTTCCGTGGGCCGACGGCCAAATCTGAGTCTCGATTTATCTACGCTTGGGCCGAAAGGTGGCCTCTCTGGGCAGCCCCTTCGTGTCTGCACCGATGCCGGCGAGCAGGCTGTGTCCGAGGTGCTACCAGTCCTGAAACGCGATCGCCTGGGCATGCGACCTGCTGGCCCGACGTTTTCGGAAACACGGCTGAGCAGGAAGGGGAAGGATGGATAGGACGTGGAGGAAGAGAAAGAGGATAGGAGTGGTGAATTGGGTGAGGGTACGAACGAGGAGAAAGGAGAGGGCGAGGAGCAGGGAAGATCATATAAGCAGCAACGAGGCAGCAAAGACGACGACGAAAACAACGAGACGACGACAAATACCACGACGGCGAGCGAGAGGAACGAGGACGGTGTGGACGGCATGCTGACATGGGCCAGGGGGGTAGAAACAGCGGCGGCGAACAGGAGGATGCGGGCGAGGGTGATGAATGATAAGGAAGATGTAGCAGGAGGGAGGGCGAGCAGGAGAAGGCGGAGGATGACTTGAGCGCGCCCGTTGTGTTACAAGAGGGGGGATCGGGTTTTGAGTTACCGATAATTCCCTGCTTGAGCTTCCCTATAATCTCCCTATAATTTCCCTATAGTCTCCTAATTCCAGCAATTGCCCGTCAATTCCCCTATAACTCCTGTTAATTTCCCTATCATTCCCGCCTGCTCCAACTAATGATTCTGGGCGTCAGTCATACTCGGTCTTACACTGTTAGCCTATGATCCCTACATTACACACGTAGAGGGGGTGGGACTACAGGAAAACCACACCCATGGTGCGCCGCCAGAATTTGACCATATCCACTGCTGCTGGATCGTGTTGCGAGGACTCGGGGAGCGGCGGATATGGATATCTGCCCGCTCACGCGGGCGGGCAGATATCCATATCCACTGCTCCTCGAGATTCCAGGGCACGACTCCGAAGCGGTGGATGTGGACATATTCTGGCGGTGGACATGGACCTCAAAGGCCTACAGGAGCCCTGGGGAACCACGGGAGGAGGCACGGGAGGAGGCACGGGCTCGGCATGAGAAGCTCTCGCCTGCTCCAGCTGCTGAGGAGGGCCCTCACCAGGGGGCCTCGTCGGGCCCTCGGGGCCGCCAGGGCCCCGAGGAGAGGGCTCGGAAGAGGTGGAGGAAGAGGAGGAGGAGGAGGAGGAGGAGGAGGAGGAGGAAGAGAAGGTCCCGAATTAACGGGAATTACCGTCCAAACATTAGAGGGAAAAGCTTCCCGGGAGGTCCCGGGAGGTGGGGCCCCGGGAGGTGGGGGCCTTCCCGGTAATTCGTTGTGATTGTTTTAATCCATATAATTATCGCGAAATTATCGGGCAAAGTTCCCTGGAGGTGGGGCCCCGGGAGGTTCCCGGGAGGTCCGTTAATTCTGGACGGTAATCCCCGAACTCTTGGACGGTAATCCCCAGCAATGAAAATCATGTGGGGCGAGGGGTGGGGGACCTCGGGTTGCTCTCCTGCAGTTGCGCCTCGCCGAGAGCCTTCCAGAGGCGCCGGAGTCGCCCCGGACGGCCGCCCGAGGCCCGAGGAGGATCCAGGCCACCGCCCCCCCTCGGGCGCCAGGGCTGACGAGTCCCTCGAGACGAGCTTGACAGGTTTATCGACGTATACCGCCCCATCCTTTCCAGCAAGCGCAGCAAGGTCTCCCTCCTCCTCCTCAGCCGCCCTACCCTCCACCTCTCCTCTCCCCCCTCCCCTCCCCCCCCCGCCTCCCCGTCCCTCCTCCCCACCCACACTCCTCCTACTCCTCCCCGCCTCCTCCCCTACTCTCCTCCTCCTCCCTCCTCCCATCCTCCTCCTCCTCCTCCCCTCCTCCTTCTCCTCCTCCTCCTCCTCCTACCTCCTCCTCCTCCTCCTCCTCCTCCTCCTCCTCTCCCTCCTCCTCCTCCTCCTCCTCCTCCTCCTCCTCCTCCTCCTCCTCCTCCTCCTCCGTCTCCTCCTGTATGCGAACGCACCCACTGGGGCCTTGGAATCGGAAAATAACAGATAAAAGGGAATACAAAACAATTAACGGGAATACAAGACAGTTAACGGGAATACGTGACAAGACAATTAACGGGAAGACAAGACAATTAACGGGAAGACAAAATACTTAGAGGGAATACAAGACAATTAACGGGAAGAATTAACGGGAAGGGAAGACTTAAGGGGAAGAGAATTAACGGGAAATGAAATCAGCTCAAAGCCCGATCCCCCCCTAGTAACACAACGGGCGCGCTCAAAGGATGACGAGGTGGATAGGGCGGACGATGTGGACGACGTGGGGGGAGGGGGAGGCTGAGGACGAAGGTGGAGGGTGGGGGACGAGCAGAGGAGGACAAAGAAGACGTTCCTCCTCCACCTCTCTTCCTCACCGCCTCCCCCCCGCACCAACGGACCGGCAGCCCTGGCACCGAAGCGCCGAAGATCCGCAGAGCCTCCCGGGCAGGCCCTGGCGCTGGGGGGCCCTGGAGGAGCGAAGGACAGAGCTAGGCGACCAAACACCGCATGAGCACGAACTGGCCCTGCATGTCGTCATTGCTGGGTGAGCTTACCGAGCTAGTCTTTGGATCCTGAAGTCGAGTCGGGCAGCCCCTGATCATCGCGATTTCGCCTTACCCGGACCTGTCGGAGGTCCGCGCGGATCTCTCGGATCGGCGCTGTATCCCCCTGTCGGCGCGCCTTTGGCGCCAGGGAGGAAGGGTCCAGCGCCGATCCAAGAAATCCGTGCGGACCGCACTTGCAAGCTTCTGTTACCGAGGTAGGAGGGGAGGAGGAGGACGCAGGACTGAGGATGGAGAAGGTAGAAGCACTGGGAAGGAAACGGATGGCGGGAACGAGAGAGGGGTGCACAGAGGAGCGCGGGCAGGGCGACCGAAGGGCGCGCCCGCGAACGAAAAAAACACCTCGAGAAGAGAGAGGACAACCTGAGGGACCGAACGAGAGCGGCCAGAACGGGCACCGGGGCGGGGCCCCGGGAGAGCCGCCACGCGCGAGAGAACCTGGGCCACCGACTCCCCCCCCACGCTCTGTGGGGGCAGGGGCCGCCCTCGACGGCACGCCTCCTTGGCGGGGCTCGAGGCCACAGCCGATTCGATCTATAACTCTGTGCTGGTCTCACCGAGTGCTCGGAACCTCTGGGAGCCCAGAATACACACGTCGGAGCTTGCGCAAGGCGTCGGCATTACAGTGTCAAACACAACTGCGACAACAACAAGCCGAGCGCACACAAAAGAGCACAGCATGCCCAAAAACTCCAAAGTCAACGACGAGATCCGCGTCCCCAGCATTCGAGGCATCGGCGGCCTCAATACGCTGGGGGAGGCGTTCAACCTCGGGCAGCACGTGGGCCCCCGCGGGCTTTCCCAAGGGCCCCTGGGCAACAGCAGCGGCGGCAGCAGGGCGGCGGCTACGCGGGGGTCCCCACAAGCCTCCCACCGCACAGGCGTCTTGAAATCCTCGGCATTCAACGCCGTCGCCGCAGAACTTCAGGCACACCTACGTCCATCGTCCATCACCAAACTGCAGGTAGTGAAATGAAGCCTGGATCTTGGTGGTAGAACCACACGACCGACACCTATACGTCCCGAGCAGCCGACACACGTACAGGTCATGGTCATCGCAACGCTGGGTCACCACTGGGAGTCGCCATTCGGGAAGTTTGGGAGCGGGAGAGGAATCGCGCCCGCACTTCTGCACACACTCACCTGGTGGACCGCCCAAGACACGCACTGCACGGTTTTATTGTGCTCGGCCAGCGCCAATATTTTGGCATCGCTGACCGCCTGGGCCACCGTGTGAGGCGGCCGCGCATGTTGTGAACAAATCGGCCCAAGCGTTGCACAGCCAGTCTTTGATGGCGCCCAAGGGGACACCTGCTGACGCCACGCCGTGGATGTCACGGCGTGCAAATGTCCACCGGAAAGAAGCAAGATGCCCAAGAGTTCTGGCACTGGGAGCGGAGAAAACATCTTTCCATGCGCGAGCATTGTTGGCGCGGCCGTGCTGAAGAGCCCGGGGCCGTCCGTTCCCATCCTTCACCGCCGATGACCAATAGTGGCACAAATCTCGCGGTTCGGCCGGACCTCCAACCCCATATTGCTGGCATCTGTTTCAGCACAGGTCACGGTCTGAACCAGGCACGGCAGAGGGCTGCAGGCGGCCATTTTAGGCAGGAAACGGTTGGGGTCCAGCTGGCAGACCGACCATCGTCCCTCAGGGTCTCAGGACTACTAGCAGCAGTCCCAGACCCGCCCGAGTACGACTTGAGGCCCCAGGTCCCACTGGTCCCCCCACGTGTAGACGCCCGGGGTCCCGCCTGTACTTGGCGCCCCCGCAGGAGGCTCAGGGGCCCAATAGACGAGGTAAGTGTTACCCCAAGACTGCTGACCAAGCCGAACTCCAGACGCCCTCAGGCGATCCCGAAAGTCGGACAACTGCCCAAGGAGGAGGTTGCACTCGTCCTCGGGGCCCCCTCTTAGCAAAGCCTTGCAATCATAGACAGTTCGGCCCGAGCACTCCGCAATCTCTCCTGCCAACGCGCTGCGCGCGGGCGCACTTGGCCTCCGCGCTTGAGATCGAGCCGAACAGGAGTTGGAACGTCGTCGGCCCAGTGCGCCTGGGGCGCTCCGAGACGCCGTGCACACGTGATGCGGTTGACAAAGAAAAGCCAGGCTCCACGATGTAGCTGTGCCAGGTCAGCCCGTCAGGTTGCCACCACTGTGCACCTTCCATCAAGGGGGCCTCGGAACCCTCGGGGCACATGCGTTAGAGGTCGCAGAGGTCACCCAGGTCGTCCTGGACAACGCGGCTGGCGACGCAGCCCCACGCGATCCTCCGACATGAAAACCGAAACAACCAAGAGTTCCTCTGGCCGCGGCAAAAACGGTTTATCCCCGAACTTCTCCCTCTGACTCTCCCAAGCGCGATGAGGCCGACAAAATTGCACCCCGAAGCCCCGAATCCACTCGGCAAATGGCACGACGACCTGGAGGGCAGCGCGGGAGATCGGGTCACACATGTTGCTAGTGTGACACAAAAGATTTGCTGCGACGCCTGACGAGGACCTGCCTGGGGCCCCATTCAGAGCCGCCGCGAACAATCGCAGCTCTTTCAAGGCAGCGCCAGGGGCGCCGGCAACGGCGGCGCCGTGGCCGACAGATGGCAGCGCTCCTGTCCTCTACAACTCAATGGCTCTACTGCCACCTGCGCCTCCAAGCGCATTGAATCGCTGTCGCCTCGCACGAAGCTGGCTGGGGCGCTTCTTCCCAGTGCCCCATGAGTACACCGGGACCCGACAGTTCATGCCCGAGGCATGCGAGACTCGCAGGAGATCCCATGGAAGCCCGCATGCTTCTGGGGGCATCCCCAAATCTTGCGACACCCAGGCACGTCACCCGACTGCGAGGCCTCGAGGTTCATGCCGAGCCTTCCATGACGAACGCCCGAGACGCCATAGCCAGATACTAGAGGCCCTCGGGGTCCTTGGCGACGCATTGGGGCCCGATCTCGTCCACGAGAGTTCAGGGGGCGACGGCGGGGGGGGCGCCGCTGGCTCTCGCTGCCGCCCTGTAACTTAACGGGTGCAGCAAGAATGCGGCGTGCGCGCATCCCGCCAGGATCCCCTAGAAGAGCGCGACGCTCTCTGGGACGCTCCCAAGGGCACGCACTCTTCTCGGCCGTTGGTAACACGAACGCAGCATCCGCCGCAATCTGCACGGAGGCCCCAGGGCCTGCCCGTCACGCAATATAGCACGTGGGATTACCATCTCATAAAACTGAACCATCTCCAGTAGCATGGCACATGCGTGCTCGCCAAGTAGTTCCGCTACCTCCTGCTGGAGGTTGCGATCGAACGCCGAGCGCGAAATGCCTGGCCAGCGCGAGCTCCCAACGTCGCACCACAATGATACGCCTGCTGCCACTCGGCACTGACGGGTCGTCGGAGCTTGCCCCAGACTCTGATGGGCGCGTCGCTGAGAACCATGAGCCTGGCGTCGCCGTTTTGCATCGGCAACCTCACCCCGCCGTCTGGCTTCGGCAATCCAGCGGCCGCGCAAGCCATTCTTCAAACGGCATGAACATGCGCCCGCTACTGCCTGCGCGGCCTGTTTCGAGAGAGAGTCTCGGCAGCGCGGGGGCAGCCTGGCGGGGCCTGCGGCGGCGCGGACTGCGAAGCCCCTAGCCGCAGCTCTCACCCGCTCTGCCTCCACGCGCGGCGGCGCGGGCTACGCCTCCGCACCCGCTGGCAACTCAGTCGCCCGAAGAGCATGATGCCCCCAGTGATTCGGGATCTCAGCCCGGGCTCGGCCCCCGGACATCGCGCGCGCCCCGCTGGCATCCCCGGAAAAAGACTCACGGGGGAACTCGCGCCGCTGCTTCTCGGCCTGGGTCTTCGAAGTGCGCCTGTCCGCATGCTCGACAATCGCCGCCGCCGCACCCCCGACGCCTGGGTCGACGATCTCCGCGACGCATACAAAAAGAACTCATTGAAATCGACGTCGATCACCGCCGACCCGTAGCTCTCCACGGCGTTCTTCTGGCAGCAGCGCCCGGCCTCGCCGGCGGCCCAGCGCGCCTTCGCGCGCCGCAGCTCGGTCAAGGCGCGCGCGGCGCGCGCCTCTGGAGCCTCTCGCTCAAACTGGTCAGCCTCTTTCTTTGACTTGGGATCCAGGGCCCATCTGCGAACTGTCGCCGCACGAGTCACCCACGCATCGCGGAGTTTCCGATGCCCTGGCGGTCTCCAAGCCATCTGCTGCCGCTTGAATTGGGCGCCCCTGACCTGACGGCGCGCCGCCTCGCCTCCAAGCCTGCCTCGTCGCATCGCCCCGCCATCTCGAAATCCGCGCCGCTCGGCGCAGCGCCCCAAACTGCCTCCAAGTCCTTCTGCGACGTGACCTTGCCAGACAGCGGGCGGGACCCACGCCGCGGGCATGGGGCCTAGGGCAGCCGATCGGCGGGGCAGCAGCGAAAGTTCGGTTCGCCCAGCACTCGGCTTCACGCAAGGCTGCAGCGCCGCAGCAGACGAAGACGCACAAAGGAAGGAGGCGGCGGGATCGACGCCTTTGCGCAGGGCACGCCCACCTGGCGATCAAGCCTCGAGGCAAGGCCACTGGCCGCGGTGATATAGTCGATCATAAAGGAGCCCACCTCCGCGACGCAGGCTAGCTCCCTCGAAATGCACGGCACCCAATTGCAGCTTGGCTACCCGGCCCCCCGACGTCAAGCGCGTCGAACTCGGCGCCGAAGTCGCACCCGCTAACCCAGCCCAGCCCTGAGGCCTGCCAGGCAGACCCCCCGCGCCAGGGCCCAGACGCCAGCCGCGATGACGCCGCCAGGAACTCACTACCGAACGCAGCCGCATACTGCCCTGCCAACGCAAATAGCGCGCCCCCCTCACCGGGCGGGCTCGCGACCGCGATGCCCCCGCGCGTGAGAACTGCCGCCCCTCTTAGATTCGCGGCAGCCGCGGCGCCCGTCTCGATGGATTGAGCCCGCAACCCACGCCACCCAGAATCTCCGATGCGACTCTGTAACTCACCAAGCCCGCCCCCACTGCACGGGTCTCCCGGGCAAACGTCACCACGCCCTTGCACTCGCCAAGCTAGTCGAGCAGCGGCCCGTAGGACCTGGCAGCGACCGCCGCGACGCCCCCCGCTTTGGACGACCTCGCACCGCAGCTGGGCGGCGAGCCCAACACCCTCGCAGCCGCCCTCCACCCGCACGCGGCAACCGATCCACCAGCGAGAGTAAACTCCAGGGCCCTCGTCGCGGCGGGCACGGCCGAGGCAGCCGCGCTCGCGCGAGATTCGCTGGAGCTGCTCTGCGCTGGCGAGGCCGCCCCCTCAGGGCAGCGCCTGGACGGCGCGCTGACCAGACTCGAAGACGCGCGCGTCCCAAGCCGCAGGCGCTGGCAACAACGGGCCGACGCTGGTGGCATTTTGTCAAGTACTCGCGCTTGGTCTTACTGATACACCGGGGCTCTGAACAGCAAGTGCTGGCACAACGGCCCGCGGCATGACGATATCAAGCTCGGTCGGGCGCCCTGGGATTCTGACAAGCAGCTGGCGGCACGTTTGGCTTCGATATGCCAATTTCGGGCACGCGTCCCTGGTCGGATCTCAAAGACTGCCTCTCCACCCTAATCGGTCTCCCAATGCTAAACGTACCATGGGACGCATTGCCCCCTCACGCTGGGGGTCACCACTGTTGTCGGACTTCCCGTCATACAAGCAAGAACCAAATAAACACAAACTAGAATACTGGCGGGCGCCGCACTGGGCGCGAGGCTTCTTGAGCGACGCCCTGAGGCCCCCTGGGGCCATCGAAGCTACTGGATCCTCATCGGCCTCCATCTCCTTGGCGTCCTCGCCCGCTGCGGGCTCGGGCTCGCCGCCAGGAGCAGGCTGGGATCCGGCGTGCTCGCGCAACTTGTGCAGCGCGCTCGCCGTGGGCTTGAGCTCGGCCAGCAGCTCGCCGCGGAAGCCCAGTCCTCCTGCCACCTGGCCCAGCTGCTCCACCGGCGCGGACAAGTCTGCCAGAAGCTGGGTCACAGTGGGAGGCCCGCTCTGGGCAGGCGGCTGGGCCTGTGACGAGGCAGCCCGAGTCTCCGCCTCGAACCGCAGCACCTCGGCCTGGGCCTCCCCCGGCTTCGCGTCCATCTCACCGGGGGACAGGCGTAGGGCGTCGATCTTGGCAGCCTGCTCGTCGCGAGCCACCTGCAGATGCAGCTAGCGATGTCGGGCACTCTGTAGCTGCCCCGCAAGGCTGCGGGCCTGGCACTCGACCGGGCGGTCGGCGAACAGAAGCTGCTCGAGCTGTGCACGCTCCTCGCGGTACTTGGCCAGCGACCAACTGCTCGGCGTCCCCGCTGAAACCGCCACTCGCCAGTTGCCTAATGAGACCACCGAGGAGCTTGACGCGTGCCCGTTCCAGGCAGCTCTTGACATCGCCACCTGCCCAAGGAGGATCAGCACCGCCACCACCAGCACCGCAATGCGCTCGAGGGGGCTGGGTCCGCAGCTGCTTGAACTACTTCTCGAACAGCGCGCACCTTTCCTCGAGCAACTTAGACTTGTTCGAAGTGCTGGGGATGGACGGCGTTTCGTTTTCTTTGTAGCGCGCGGACTTATGCATCAGGCACTGCTTGCAGTGGAGGAGCCCGGCTTTGAACCATGGCAACGTTGTTTTTTCATGGGCGCAGAAACGCCTGGCTCCGGCGTCGCTCTCACTCTGCCGACGCCGCGCAGAAGCAGAAGCTGTCAATCAGTGTAATGTAACAGTTCGCAAAAAAAGTAAGGGGATGAAGCCCCTAGGACACAGATATCAGGAAAGCTCTGAAGGTTCCATGTAGAGGGCCGCGCTCCCCAAATGCGAAAAGAACTCCTGCCCTGAGCCTGCTGCCTCCGGAGATGGACCAAGATGGCTACGGAGTGCGCGGAAGAGCGAGGAACCAAGGGCACGGAAGGGGGAGAAGAATGAGCAGCAGCAGCACGGGCGAGGAAGGAGGGAGGATCGAGTGTGGGGAAAGAGAAGGCAGTGACGAGGGTGGAGGGGGGAGGAGGGGGAACACAACTGCGCCAGGAGGACGGAAATGGATGAGAAAGGCGGAGGAGCTGCGTTCGCGGTGCCTTCGGGACATAGCAGAAGGTACCTGCTCAGGGGAGACTGCTTCGCGTGAGCTCGACGTTGCCGTCACCACGCTGGGCGCTGGGGCGAGATGAACCGCGGCAAGCGCCACAATGGGAGGGGTGGCAGCGGGCGCGCACCCAAGTGGGAAGGGGTTGAGGGAGCCAGGAGGCCAGGATGTTGGAGACGGGGCAGCGGAGGAGAGATGGCGGGGAGAGGACGTGCCGGGAAACGGGCGCGACGCGTGCGGCGTGAAACGATGGTTGCTTCGTTCGGGCGCACGCCTCGGGCGGGCTCTGGATGGCACTTCCCTCGTCCGGAAACGAGCGCCCAATGCCACAACGACTGGACCCAAACGCACCTCCCCGCTCCTTCGGGAATCCTCCCCAGACGAGGACTTGCACACTCTTGAGCGACGCAACGCGACGTGGACGTGCCTGACGCGAGACGGCGCAGCGACCTTCCGCGGTGGCCCACGTGGGTCGCCAGCGCGGCTCGCTGCCTTGGAAGCGAGGGCGCTCACGCGCGACCTTACTCGGGCAGTCTACGCGCCACTGTCGGCGCAGACGGCCCCGCCTTTGGACGTTGCGCACTCGTTTGTCGGTGCCCACTTCGAGACCAGCACTCAGACCGACGCCGTCGTGCGCCGCACCGCCCTTCCCATCGACCGAAAGGACCCTGCAACGTGGGAGAAAGGAGCGCAGCTAGCGTGCCAACGTGAGGAATGCAGCCTAAGGAGCGGACGGGCTGTCCTGGCCGCGGCGAGCGCATTGGCCACGAACGGGTTCCTCGACCTAGGTTTTCAGGGGCGGCCCGAAACACGGAGCCCCTCCTGAGCCCAAGGGTGGCCGCATTTCAGCGTTAAAACGACGCGAAGATCGGGGCAAAATCGGATCGGGATAACTCGAAATCTCTGAGAATCGGCGGGTCTGGAGGATGTATTGGGCGCCGCGGCCGCTCCAAAGCGCTCCGGAACGCTCTGCGAGCGCTCCGGAACGCTCTGGAGCGACTTATCCCGATCCTAGCTCTGTTTTCAGCGTCTCGACTGTATGGAGGGGCCCCAGGACACACAAATAAATACACACAAATAAACAGGTTCCCCATATTTTCCCATATTTTCTGGGTTTCTGTCTTCCCCCCCACTTCCCATATTTGCCCATATTTTCCTGGGAGTGGACGACTAATTGTGTCTGTGTGTTTCTTTCCCTCCTGAATGAGAACGGCATGGGCAGAAACTTCGGGAGGTCCGCGCGGACTTCGTGGATATCTGCGCTAGGCCCCCCCCCCCTCCCCTGCGCGCGGGGCGGCGCACCACCGGGCGGCGCCGCAGGCCGCGCCGGGAGAGGCCGGGGCGCCGATCCGAGAGGTCCGCGCGGAGCTCCCCAAAGTAGAGGGCAGAAAATCCACCCCGATAATAACCACCCCGACACGCGAGGCCTTTAGTAAACACGCCCAAAGAAGGAATCGAACAGGGCAGGGCTGTTTAGTAAACGCCCAGGGCCGTTTAGTAAACGCCAATTGTCCGGTCCGGGTGGCTTTTCTTCCCTTGACAAAGGTTTCTTCGCATGCCGCTCCCTGCTCGTCGTTGCCCATCGGCCGAAAAGGCCGTGCGATGCGGGAAGAGGGGGGGGCGAGAGCAAAAAAGAGGAGCGTTCTGTCGGCTGCAGCGAGGGTCCTCACCGCGTTCGGGGGGGGGGCAGGCGTGGGACGCAAAGGGGGGCCACGTTCAGAGCGCGAAGTCCCTGAACGTGCCTTTCGGAGCAAGTGCACCCAGAGGAAGGGAAGGGGGGAAGAGCGAGGAGGAACATGCAGGCGGGGAGCAAGGGACGGAGGAGAGAAAGGAGGGAAGCCGCACTGCATCGGAAGGGCGAGGTGCTGGCTGACCTCGACACAGCTCATCGTATCGGCTCTGAGAATAGATTGTCTTCGATAACCCGAGTTTGGGCTGCAGGCGTGCTCGGGCACGGCACCCTCCGGACGGAGGAGGAAGCGTCGGCATGTGAAGGAGGGACGTGCGGACGGAGGAGGAGGGAAGGCGGGGGGTGGGGCACAAGGAACATGGGCAGGAGGCGACGGAAGGAGCACGAGGAGGAACGAGGACGAGGAGGACGAGGGAGGAGGACGAACGGGACGAGGCGTTGAGAAGGGCCGCTGGCTGGGTCACTCCTCCTCCCACTCGGCGTCGTCGCCCTGTGCGGCCGTGCGGAAAGGGGCGGGCTGCCACGACGAGCCAGAAAGCGGCTGGACAACGAAGGGGCTCGAGCAGGAGAGGGCGAGAAAGAGGAGGAGCAGGCGGAGGCGATGGCACCGGATCAAGAGGACGAAGTGGGAGGGGGAGGGAGACCAGCCCGGGGGATGGCCGAGAAGACGAGGCGGGGAGCGAGCAAACGAGAGACCAGCTCTGCGGACAGTCGACAGGTTGGTGAAACCGGGGGCTCTGGACCTTGGATTCACCAGGGAGGCAACGTGCGCCGGAACAGCGGGTCAACAAGCACGCATGGAACGAGAAAGGCGACGGCCTTGTAATCGGTCTCAACGTGTGTTAGCAAAACCGTACTATGGCATAGCCATGATGGTCCTCGAGCGTCGACCAATTGAGGTGAAGGCGTTTTGGGCCGTCAGACAACAGGCGAAGTGGGTTAGCGGGCACTTCGCGCTGGTAGTCGTGGGCGCTAAATGCAAGTCTGGGGCGAGCAGCTTTTATAACATGTAGATAATTGCGTCGACGTCTCAGCGTTTGCGTGGGCGAAGTTGCTGACGGTGGCCGTGCGGGCGCGGGCTTGATTCCTTGTTGCCAATGTGGTTCTGGCCGCGTCCAACTTATGCGCTCGTGGTTGGCAACCCTCGAGGCCATGCGCCAAGACTTTTGCGTGTGCTTTGCCGCCACAGAAATCATCCGACGATGCCCCTTATAATGGTCTACGCGCCGCGAAGCACGCTCAATAGATCCAACCCCAATCTCCATGCCTACACTTGCGGTGTCTTCGTGGCGCTCGCTGTGCTGGTCCGGCGTCGCGGTTGAATCGTGCTGGGGCGGGCTGCTGCTCGCGACGCGGCTCGCACTGTGTTTGCGCAGGGCCTTTTTTTGCCCCGTGCCTTGCGGTTCGCGCCGTGGACAGCGTTGATCTACTGGCCGCTGTGGGAGACTGTCTGGCCGATGCATGCGAAGCTTGCATCACTGTGTCCAGCGCAAAAATTGTCGGGGGGGTTCCGTGAGGATCCACGCATCTCCCCCACAAGGCACCGCCGGCATACCACCAGCCTTCTGGGCGCAGGTGCTTTACAGAGTTCACTGCTCCCTTCGGGGAGCATGTTCGGTGAGCCTCTCAGGACCTCCTTCCCCTCTGGGGATAGGCCTGTCTCTGCCCCTACCCTCTCGCCCTGGGTCTGGAGGCGGGGGCGCGAGGGGTCAGAGGATCCAAGATGGCCCAAGGGGGCTCTAGATGGCTGAAGATGGCCTCCAAGATCGCCCAAGACAGCCCAAGATCAGTTTGAAATGGTTTTCAACATGCCTCCAAAGGGCCCCAAGACCGTCCCGATACGGTTCGAAGTTGCCGCAGAGCCTCCCAAGGACGTCTCTCAGAACTCGAAACCATTCAGAACCTCAGGGGAATCAACGTGCTATGCTTTCCCACCTTATCGCTTCCGATCGGCTCTTGACTCCTCAAGATGGCTCTGTGATGGCCCAGGAGAACCCCAAGAGGTCCCCGGCACAGCTTCCAAACATCCCCCAAAAACGCCCCAAAAGCGCCACACGAGAGTGGAAGAAGAGCGGAAGAAGCGACCTCAAGGCTTCCGACGGGGGGGACTGACATACACGCCGCCCTCTTCTTTAACCGATGGCCTCCAAGATGGCCCCAAGAGTGGCCCCAAGAGGGCCCCAAGATGACCCAAGCGAGCTCCCACATCGAACGATCTGCGAAGGCATGTATGGTTGACACCTGGGTCTGCTCAGGCTCTTCCCGATCTTCGGCTCGACGGCTGCACCCCTCTCTCTTTGTTCCACTGCTTGCTTCTGTACTTTCCTGGTCAACGCAACTGACCCGGACATCGCTTCTGGATGGATTGGTGGAAATACGCAAGGCGTCAATAGTTACCGTGCTGTTTATAAGATAGATTCGGTACGCCATTGGGTCGTTTTCTGATGATCAACTATTGCGCGCGTGCAGTGAATGACGCCAACGCAACTACTGTACCCATCGTGACGCGGAAAGTAATGAGTTGGTGGTCGATACGCCTAGTATTGCCACTGCAAGGAAGGGTATCGGTGCCCTTGCTCTGGACGCGCACTGTGCGCAATCCCGCCCTGCAAATCCGAGGGGTATGCTTGTTCCGCTGGGGTGTAGCTCGAGCCCGCCGAGATTTTCTGCTCGCGACATCGCCGAGCATCGTAATGGGAGGAGCGAGCGTGGCTGGTCGGGAGCACGTCGTGGGCGAGGCGCATCCCAAGCGGGCCCCCGTGCCTCCGATCTGCTGGTCGGTGGCAAGCGGAGCGAAGATTTGCCAGGGAAGATAGCTACAAGTGATGAGCTAGATTGAAGGGGAACTGGGACACACAAATGAATACACACAAATAAAATATTCCCCATATTTTTTCATATTTTCTGGGTTTTTGTCTTCCCCCCCCCTGCCCATATTTTCCTATATTTTCTGGGAATCGCCGATTAATTGTGTCTGTGTGTTTTTTCCCCTCCTGATAGATGGGTAGCCTTGCTCCATGCCCCGCAGGAGACTGGAGAGGCCCGCTGCCCGCATCGGCACCCACTGCGGATGTACGCCTCTGGAATGTTTGCTGGAGTTGTGAGCAGTAACATGGATGGACGTTCGGCGTCCGCCCTGCTTTCAAGATGCCATCGGGGGCGAGTGTGCCGAACGGCGACTCCTGAACAGCTCCCACAACGAGGTAAAAACGGCAGTGCGCCCCGAGATCCAATTGTACTCCTTGGCACTGCTCTCGGAAGAAGTGCACCGTGAGCAAGCACGCTCGCTTGCTGGAAGCGCGGAGTCTGAAGCCGGCCAGCCTGGTCAGCAGTCTCTCGGAGGCCACGTGCTGCTCGTGCTCTGATGTGTGGGGAAGGGAAGTCTGCCGAAGGGCTTGGCCAGTGGCAGGGAGGCGTGAAGCATCCGCTCGCTTGGAATGGACGTGACGCCCGTGCTCGTCCTAAAACAGGGCTAGGATTGGGATAAATCGCTCCAGAGCGTTCCGGAGCGCTCTCAGAGCGTTCCGGAACGCTCTGGAGCGGCCGCGGCGCCCAATACATCCTCCAGACCCGCCGATTCTCAGAGATTTCGAGTTATCCCGATCCGATTTTGTCCCGATCTTCGTGTCGTTCTACGTCCAGCCGTTCTGCGCGGGGACGCGAGCCGGAGGGCCGCGCGGGAGCGAGGGATAGGGGGCAAACAAACCTACCTCGCTTTTGACCACCCTCGCTTCCAAGAGATACCAAGCGATGCCAAACTGCGGCCTGTACTGGTCAGGCCGCTTGACGAGGAGGCGCGTGGTATGACTTGGTTTTGCCTGGAAGCGAAAGCGGGGGAGGTAATTCACGCTCCGAAGGGAGGGTGAGCGCCGAGTGGCCTCTTGACGAGGACGAGGAGGAGGAGGAGGAGGAGGAGGAGAAGGAGGGGGAGGAGGAGATGGAGGAGGAGGAGGAGGAGGAGGAGGAGGAGGAGGAGGAGGAGGAGGGTGAGCGCCGAGTGGCCTCTCGGGCGCCCTCCCTCCGCGGCTCTGCCGCGAGGCCCCTGGCGTGGGGGGGGGGGGGCCCGCCAGGCCAGGGGCCGGGCCTTCGTCGCGCTGCGGTGCGCGGGAGCCTTCGTCGCGGGGAGGGCCCCCCCCCCCGCTGCAGAGTTCTTGTGGGCCGCAAGATTGCAAAAAAACCCAGGATTGCAAAAAAAAAAAAAAGGATTGCAAAAAACCCAGGATTGCAAAAAAACAGGGTTTTTGCAATCCTTTTTGCAATGCATCTGTGGACATCTGCGAGAGCGTGTGCATCTTCCCGTCGCGCCGTGCGCCCGGATCTGAACTTGCCATGTGGAGCTCGGATCGAAATCGATCGTGTGGATGGTGAGGCTCCACAGTCTGAGCGTGCACTCGCGGGAGCTGCTCTCGAGGTATATGAGCTGCTCGAGGACGTGTTCTCCCATGGCCTCGTCGTGCGTCGTGGCCACCGATCATGCACGCGGAAATGCTGGAATACAGGTGTGATGATTGACTTGCGGGCTCGAGCGTCGTCGCTGCGCGTCTGATGGCAGTGTGGTGTGAAACGTGCGGCTGTGAACTCGTGTGGTCACGCTGCTCCTCTGTCTGCTTGGCGATCCGTCTGGGGCGCGTCCTTCGCTGCGCTGTCTCGGCCGTTCCAGGCCCCCGTCGCTGCTGGCAACCGCGGCGTCGACGAGGACTCGTTCAGTGCGCTTGCTCGGTGCGTGTGGCTCAAACGGTAACCCGCTTCGGCCCAGCCTTCGTCGTTTGTGGCCCTGGTTTGGTGGACGATCGTGTTGGCGATGTTGCCAGCCAGACATCCGGGTGGTACGAAAGGGTTTGCGCAACCGCTGGAGGGTTACAGGGTGTATGCAGGGACGGAAGAGAGGAGGGGGATTGGGAGGGGAAAGGGACAGCTGTGATAGGTGATTGGGATAAGGGGGGCAGGGGGAGAAGGACACGGAAAGGGGGGAGGATGAAGAGGACTGCAAGGGGACAAATGCAGCGATGGGGGGCGATTGAGAGGGGGAAGGAGGTAGGGAGGAGGCAGGAGCAGGAGACTTCAAATCGGACGGCACACCCAACCCCTGGACTCCCGGACTCCTCCGCCCTTCCCTCATCCTCCCCCCTTCTCCCCTCTTCCTCCCTACCTCCACCTCGGGCATGTCCCCCTACAGGCCGATTTTGGACGAAAAATTAAACATACCCGACAAAAAACCAAAAATGTTCAAAAATGGTCAAACAATCGTCCCCAGACTATTTTTCATTCTTGAATATTCCCCCTGTAGAGGGACAGGCCCGACTTAACCCCACCTCCACCTCGACCAGGACGACGAGGACAGCGACGACGACCGGGACCAGCTCAGCAGGGGTCCTCGGACCCCGCTCGGGGTGCATCCTGACCAGCCTGGCAAGCTGCGCCCAGCCGGGGGCGACGAGGACCTCCAGCAACGCCCGACCACCTCCGAAGAGAAGAAGCCGCCGCCGCCGCCGCCGCCGCCGCCGCCGCCGCCGCCGCCGCCGCCGACGACGACGACGACGACGACGACGACGACGACGACGACGACGACGTACGACGACGGACGACGACGGACGACGACGAAGGCCCCGAAGCCTCGAAGCCCGTCTGCGTCGCGAAGGCGCGCAGCTCCTGGGGGGGGCGCCCGCCGCGCGCCGCCCTTCCCCACGGGGGGGGGGGCACGGCGCGCCGCCGCGGGTGCGCCGCCGAGAGGGCGCCCACAAAGGACGTACGCGCCCAGCTATGCACATGAACACGGCCCCTCGATCCGTGAGACCGGCCGCGTTATACGAACATGTGCGTTATACGAACATGTGCGCGGATTCATGTACATGTACGTCCTTTTTTCCGCTCCTGAGCAGAGGGGGCGAGGGAGGGGCCGAGTGCCGACCAGGCAGGCGAGCAAAAGCCATGCGCCGCTGGGCGCGTGGGCGGCCAGCACGCGTCATGGCAGTGCGGCAGCGCGAGATCGTGCCGAGGGCCGCGGGCAGCAAGAGCAGGAAGGAGGAGGAGGAGGGGGAGGAGGAGGAGGAGGAGGAGGAGGAGGAGGCGGAGGAGGAGGAGGAGGAGCGGAAGGAGGAGGAGGAGGAGGAGGAGGAGGAGGAGGTGGAGGAGGAGGAGGAGGAGGAGGAGCGAACAGAAGATTGCCGTGCGTGGTGGCGCGCGTGCTACCTGCCAGGGCGACCAGGGGCCAGTGCCCAGGCGTGGTGGCCACAAGCGGCGAGCACATCCGTATCCGCGCCCTCGCGGCATGGATTCTGGGCGCGATCCCGCGGATGCGAGGTCGCACGGATGTGTTCCGCGCGGAGCATCCGCACAAAAACACCGCCCGCGGGGTCGCGGCCCAGGGGCCCGGCCCGCGTGGCCGCGGATACGGATATGTTTTTCGCACACGGGCGGGGCAGGGGGGGCAAGCAGGACGTCTCAAAGGGAAAAGAGGAAGCCATGAGATCTGGGAGAAGCCCCTGCCCGCTCCCCGCCCGTCCCCATCTGGTCCTCACCCCCCCGCGTGGACACCCCCGACCTCCGCGTTCGGAGAGCCCGAGCTGGGATGCCATGACGGAGGGAACGCGACCTACCGTGACTTGACTGGCAAAAACAAACAAACTCCAGGAAACTGGAGACCAGTTCTTTTTGAATCGGCGATAACCCGGGTTATCCCGGGGGGGGGAGGAGAAGGCCGGCCGATCACCTAACCGTCGCGCTGTGGGCAGCCCTGCATATGCCCGCGCCCGCCCTCCCGCGGACCTGCACAACGGGCAAGGTTAGGTTATCCTGGGGGAGGGGAGGGGGGGGGGACAAGCCCGATAACCCGGCTTATCGCCCGACCCTAAAAAACAGTCTCCTGGGGGGAATGAGAAATCCCTACCTCATTCGGCGGCCGGGCGGGGGAGACCCCCCCCTTCCCGGAAACAGGGGGGTGGGGGGCGGCGGGGCTCGAACAGGCTCTAGTCGAACAGGATCTAGTCCAATCCTACTCGGGCTCGATCAATCTCGAATAGAAGCCTGCAAAAGCCAGAAGCGGCTAGACCCACTCTAACAGAATGATCCTAGGGCTGGATCCAGCTCTCATGGAATCCTACAAAGGCCCAGTCCAGTTACAATCGAATCCTGCTACGAAGGTGGGACCCCGACCTACACCAAACAACCCAACTAGAGCTCGATCTGGCTCTAATATAATCCCACAGGCTAGGTACAGCAGGACTACAATCCTTCTGGGACTGGATCCAGATCTAATGGAATCCTACAAAGGCTCGGTCCAGCTCAATCGAATGTTGCTACTAGGGCTGGATTCAACTCTAATGTGTTACTCAATCCTTTTCAAGCATGATCCAACTTGAACGGAATCCTATTATGGGCTGGATCCAGCTCTAATCGCACCCAAACTAGGACACGACTCAACTCCAAAAGGATCCTGATCTGGCTTGAAGGCAACTCTAACCACAAATCCCATTAGCGCTCGACCCAGCCTGAATACACCCTGGAGCCTCACAAAGTCTGCAAAACCACCCCGATAATGCTCGCGTGCGCGAGACTATCGACCTATGGGAACCAAGCAATACTTGGAAAACAACTGCCCCCCCCCGCGGCGGCCACCGCTCAGGCCTCCGCCGCAGGCAGCTGCACACAAACCTACACACGTAGAAGTAGATGCACATTACGTAAATGCATGTGCCTATATAGATATGTATAAATGTGTATATATTTATATGTGTGTTTGTATATGTATATATAAACACACGCATCGATGCATGCATACAACTATGCACCCATCAGCCACCGTGCCTCGGGGCACAACGTGGAGTTTCCTCAAGGCTCCCATGCGGTGTCTCCGTTCTCTGCACCCAGGGCTCTGGAATCAGAGCATTCTGAAAGGCAGGGGCCCAACATTCTCAAAGTTCCTGGGCGTTCCCGCGCGTTCTTGGGCTGCCTCGCATCACTTTTTCCAGAAGCCAGAGGGCCCCAAGACGGGCCAAGCGGGTCCCAGGATGCGCCCAAGAGGGTCCATGAGGCCAACAAGACCGCACAAGAGCGCTCCAAGACGCCCAAGATGGCCCAAGGACGGCTCACGAGGCCCCAAAGATACCCCACGACCCCAAGAGGGCCAAAAAAGAGGCCATGGTCAGTGTTCCTCCTTGTGTGTTTCAATGTGGTTCGCGTTCTCGCATTTTCGGGCCTCCGACGCTCCAAAAAGAGCCACAGGGGCCTCCAAGACCGCCCCTAGACGGCGCAAGAGGCCCCCAAGAGGGCCCCAAGACGGTCCAGGAGGGCCCCAAAACGGCCCAAGAGGCCCCCAAAATCGCCCAGGAGGGCCCCAAGACGGCCTCCAAGACGCCCCCAAGAGAGCCCACGAGGCCCCGCAGAGGCCCCACGATGCCCCCAAGAGGCCCAACACGATGCTCAGAAGGCCCCCAAACGGCCTCCAAGAGGACTAAACAGGCTCAATCCAAATGAACATCCAAGAGGCGTCTAACCCACAACACAGGCACGGTGGCGGGATGGGCCGAAGGCCACTACACCTGGCCCGGCACAGAAACGGAAAGAGCGCTGCAGCAACAGAAACCGAAATGACTCACACCACCGTGCGTACCGGGAGCCTTGGCGTTGAGAGCTGGTTACGTCACCCCTCGCTCTTGGGAGCCTTGTTCAAAGATGGTTGCGTGGCCGCCCGTTCCTGAGCCTTGGCTGGGCCTCGGTGTCAGGAACTTGTTACGTCACCGCTCTCTGCTGGGAGCCTTGGTCTTATCAGCTTTTTGACGTCACCGTTCGCTCTTGGGAGCCTTGGTGTAAAGAGCTTTTTGCGTTACCGATCGCTCTGGGCGTCTCTGGGCCTTCGTGTGAGTCCTATTGGGGCCCTTTTCGGGCCCGCCTGGTGGCCTCTTGGGGGCCTCTTGGGGGCCTCTTGGGGCTTCTTGGGGGTCTGTGGGGGCCTCCTGGGAGCGTCTTGGGGCGAAAGGCTCGACTTTCGGGTTCGGGGTCCCCCTCTTGGGGCCGTCTTGGGGCTCTCTTGGGCCGTCTTGGGCGCCTCTTGTGCCGCCTTGGCGCCCTCTTGGGCCAGTTGGGGGGCCTCTTGGGAGCCTCTTGGGCCGTCTTGAGGCGGTCTTGGGGGCCTCTTGGACCATCTGCAACGCCGTGGCAGCCGAAAAGCCGTGCATGCTAAAAATGTACGTTTTTTTTCCATGGGAAATCTATGAGTTTCGCCTCCTGTTGGCCTCTTGGGACGTCTCTTGGGGGCCTCTTGGGGCTTCTTGGGGGGCTCTTGGGGCCTCCTGGGAGCGTCTTGGGGCGAAAGGCTAGACTTTTCGGTTCGTGGTCCCCCTCTTGGGGCCGTCTGCGGGGCCCTCGTGGGCCGTGTTGGGCGCCTCTTGTGCCGTCTTGGCGCCCTCTTGGGCCGGTTGGGGGGCCTCTTGGGAGCCTCTTGGGCCGTCTTGGGGCGGTCTTGGGGGCCTCTTGGGCCGTCGTCAACGCCGTGAAAAGCGAAAAGCCGTATATGCTAAAAATGTATGTTTTCCTTTAGGAAATCCTAGATGTTGGCCTCCTGGGGCCCTCTTGGGACGCCCCTTCGGCGCCTCTTGGGGCCTTTTGGGGGCCTCTTGGGCCGTCTTGGGGCTGTCTTGGGCGGTCTTGGGCTCTTCTGGGACGGAAAAAAAAGAAATCCGACAAATCATGCAAAACCATAGGGGAAACCCCCAAAACGGCGATTAGATGCCATCTGTTCCCGCTACGCACCCCCCTGGAACCTCCCTTAAGGGGCTTCGCCAACACCAAAACGTCATCGCTCGTACCTCGCTCTTTCCGTTACCTGGCCCGGCACAGAAACGGAAACAGCGCTGCAGCAACAGAAACCGAAATGACTCACACCACCGTGCGTACCGGGAACCTTGGCGTTGAGAGCTGGTTACGTCACCCCCTGCTCTTGGGAGCCTTGGTGTTCAGAGATGGTTGCGTGGCTGCCCGTTCCTGAGGCTTGTCTGGGCCTCGGTATCAGAAACTTGTTACGTCACCGCTCTCTGCTGGGAGCATGGGTCTCATCAGCTTGTTTACGTCACCGTCCGCTCTGAGGAGCCTTGGTGTGAAGAGCTCTTTGCATTACCGATCGCCCTTGGCGTCTCTGGGCCTTCGTGGGAGTCCTATTGGGGCCCTTTTCGGGCCCTCCTGGTGGCCTCTTGGGGGCTTGTTTTTCCTGTGTATTTTCGAAAGGGTTCTCAAGCATAGAATTGTTTTCAATGGTGGGGCCCACTTCGGGGGGGGTCCCCCCGCAAGAACCTTTGAAAACTCCGCCCCCCCTCCCGAAAACAATTTTGAATGAACAACAACCAAAAACAACAACACATTGTGGATTTTCGGGGAGGTTCGGCGAACTGCCGCATCCTACTGAGGAACCGAGCAGGGAGCAAGGAGTGGGAAGGACGAGGAAGAGACACGAAGTAGCAAGGAGGCGCAACGGTTCCGTAGTCGACGCCAGCAAGCGAAGATTCGAAGCCAGGTCTCCGCCATCCTGATCGGGATTTTGCCTAAGATAGTGGATGCCACGACACTGGACACCCTATCAATCCGATCAATGAATTACGCATGTGTTTGAAATGTGTCCAACAGGTTCTAGAAATGTATCAAACATGTGTTTCACATATCTTTGAAGCATGTTTGGAACATTTTTAGACATCCGGAAATTATCTGGCAGCATGCTTCCTCTCCATTGATCGTCCTCCACAAGCCTACGAGGTCTGGGTCGACAGGTCGGGGCCTTTCCGTGGGGCGCGAGGGGGGTCGCACCAGCGGCGTCTCTGGGCGGTGGTCCTGCAGGTTGAGACGCCGGTCGCGGTCACGGTCGCAGGCCTGGCCGGGACATCCGGGTGGCAATGGCTCAGTGACAGGGGAGGGGGGGGCAAGGAAGAAGGAGGGAGAGACAATGGGAAAAGAGACGCAAGAGAGCGGAAACGGAAGACTTTGTTTTGTTCAAGCATCCCCAGTTGAAAGGTTCAGGTTGCCGCTGTTTGGGGCTCGGCGAGGCACCCAACGGCCACGAGGAGTCCCAGGGGCTCTCGGAGGCACCTCCACAATAATGAACTCAAGAGGGCGGAAACGGAAGATGAAACACAAGCAGGGATGGATCAGGTATGAGGGGGAGAGGGAAAAGGGTGAGCGGGGGATGAGCTACAGGACGAGACAATGACAGCAAAAGAGAAGGAGGGCGCTTTCACGTCAGATGTCAGAGAGAGTGGGAGAAAAACAGAGAGAGAGAGAGACAGAGGAAATTGATTTTCCTCCGACGAACCAGAGACTCAAACCATCGGAGGGCACACAAAACGAATTAGCTTCCTTGCGGTTAGGTAGCACCAAAACTGCAAACGTCCGAGGACTACACGTAGGCGGCACTGGAGGACAAAAGCCAGGCAGTCAAGAAAGCGAGAGAGAGAGAGAGAGAAACATACAAACGCACACACACACACACACACACACACACTGTTTTGCGTCGCGGCCCCGCGCGCAGCGTCAAGACGTAGCAAAGTCGGAACGGCGGCCGCGCACGCGCATCTGAAGGCCGAACCCTCAAGCCGCTTGGAACCAGCAGCGCTGGCAGCCCGCTACAGGTCATCTGGGCGTGGATGACGGGGGTCACAGGAGCGCACAGACGCACAGACACACACACACACACATACACACACACACACACACACACACACACACACACACGCGCGCGTTTTGGCGTCGCGGCCCCGCGCGCAGCGTCAGGGCGTAGCAAAGTCGGAACGACGGGCGCGCAAGCGCGACTGAAGGCCGAGCCCTCAAGCAGCTTGGAACCAACAGCGCTGGCAGCCGCCCATCAGCAATCCGGGAGTGGATGACGGTGGGGTCAGAGGAGCGCACAGACACACAGGCACACACACACAGACACACACACACACACACACACACACACACACATTTTGGCGTCGCGGCCCCGCGCGCAGCGTCAGGGCGTAGCAAGGTCGGAACGGCGGGCGCGCACGCGAATGTGAAGGCCGAACTCTCAAGCAACTTGGAACCAGCAGCGCTGGCAGCCGGCCATCAGTCATCTGGAGGTGGATGACGGACGGGTAAGAGGAGCGCACAAACACACAGGCACACACAGACACACACACACACACACACACACACACACACGCGCACACACACACACACACACACACACTCATTTTGGCGTCGCGGCCCCGCGCGCAGCGTCAGGGCGTAGCAAGGTCGGAACGGCGGGCGCGCACGCGCATCTGAAGGCCGAGCCCTCAAGCCGCTCGGAACCAGCAGCGCTGGCGGCCAGCCATCGTCATCCGGGCGTGGATGACGGAAGGGTCAGAGGAGCGCACACACACACACACACACACACACACACATAGACACACAGAGACACACAAGCACACACACACACACACACATTCTGTTTGGCATCGCGGAAACGGGCTTCTCGCGGCAGGGGCGAGAAGCCCGCGCAGCGGCCGCGGCTGGGCACTCAGGCGGATCGGAGAGAGAGATAGAGAGACAGAGAGAGAGAGAGAGAGAAAAAAAAAAAAAAAGGTGGGTGCAAAGCGGATCCGAACACGGCTCCCCGTCGACCATCGTCATTCTTTTGGTCCAGTCCCCCGCGTCATCGTCAAACTCCTACTCCTCATCCTCCTTCTCCTATTCGTCGTCTTCCCCCTCCTACGCCCCTCCTCCCTCCTCCTTCCTCCTCCTCGTGCGCCTTCTCCTCCACCACCTCTTCTCCTCTAGCCCGAGCGTTTTTTCCTTCTGTCCACGTCCTCCCTCCTTCTCCCCCTCCTGAGCCTCATCCTCCATTTCCCCCTCCTTCTCTTCCTCCTTCTCCTCCTCCTCCTGCTCCACCTTCTGCTCCTGCTCCTCCTCATCCTGCTCCTGCTCATCCTCTTCCTGCTCCTCCTGCCCCTCATCCCCCTCCCCCTCCTGCTCCCCTCCTGCTCCTCCTCCTCCTCCTCTTCCTCCTCCTCCTCCTCAACCTCTCCATCAAACCTATCCCATTTCTCTTTCTCGTCAAGGCGCCGCGCCCAGGGGGAAGTGAGGAGGGGCGGGCCTTCTCAGAAGGCTCGTAAGTCCCCCAGCCTTCGGAGAAGGAAGTTTTTTGAGCCTTCCCCGAAGACACATAAACACGTCTCAGAAGGCGCGAGGAGAGAAATCCCGCCGCCTTCTGAGAAGGTCTTACCCTTTTCATTTCCCCCCTCGCTCGCCCCCGATCGTTATCCTATAGTCCCTCCATCCCCCAAATTAGCCTTCCTCCATGTGCAGGCGGGGGGGGGAGAGGGGCCGTCGCCTGGAAGACCGCGCTGATGAGGTCGATCCGTGGCGGCCTCCACCGGGCCACTGGCATGCCCGGGCAGAGAGGCCGCGAGGTGGAGGCGGGGGCGTACAGGAATCAACCAAAAGGGGCCTCTGGGGCCCTTGTGGTTCAGCGTCTCGCCTTGCGATTCGAATGGCTCTGCGATCGTATCCATGAGGGGCAACGTTGGGGGGGACCGGCTCATGGGTGGGGGGGGGAATGGACCTGGAATCGACGATAGAGCGCCGATAGATCGGAGATAGGCCCCCGAGAGCGAATCCGTGCACTACTGGGCGGGGTTGGCTATCCAGCCCCTATCGGCGATAAATGGACGATTGGGGGTCGATGCATCGCCCCCTCGCGTTGCCCCGGAATCCAGAATCTCCCCCGGGGGAGGGGTCCCGGCTGCTGCCAGCCCGCTGCCGTCACCGTGACCTCCTCACGACCCGGAGCCTCGCAGAAGCCTCTGAGAACAAGCCCAGTTGTCCTCAGGACCCTCTCAGGAGCCTCGTGGCCGCCCGACCCCTGCTCCTCTAGCCCTCGTCCCCCCCCCCCCCTCCCCTCGAGGGACGGCGACCACGACCGCGGCGGCGGCGGAGATGCCGACCACGGCGGCGACCCCCCCCCGACATCCGCCGACACATTTGTTGCGTCCGCCCGGTCCACCCGAACACCCGAGGAGGAGGAGGAGGAGGAGGAGGAGGAGGAGGAGGAGGAGGAGGAGGAGGAGGAGGAGGAGGAGGAGGAGGAGGAGGGGGAGGAGGAGGAGGAGGAGGAGGAGGAGGAGGAGGAGGAGGAGGAGGAGGAGGAGGAGGAGGAGGAGGAGGAGGAGGAGGAGGAGGAGGAGGAGGAGGAGAGGAGGAGGAGGAGGAGGAGGAGGAGGAGGAGAGGAGGAGGAGGAGAGGAGGAGGAGGAGGAGGAGGAGGAGGAGGAGGAGGAGGAGGAGGAGGAGGAGGAGAGGAGGAGGCGGAGGAGGGAGGAGGAGGAGGAGGAGGAGGAGGAGGAGGAGGAGGAGGAGGAGGAGGAGGAGGAGGAGGAGGAGGAGGAGGAGGAGGAGGAGGAGGAGGAGGAGGAGGAGGGAGGAGGGGGGGGGGATGCAGCGACCCCCAATCGCCCGGGCCCCTTCCCTGGGTTTTTTTTTTTGCACCGGGTCAGCTCTTGCTGGCCCCGGGGGGCCCGAGAGCGGGCCCCCTGGGGCCGCCATCGAGGACGAGCGCCGGGATCCAAAACCAAAAAAAAGGAGCCCCTGGCGAAGGACCCAACCTGATGTGATTGCGAGTCACGCGTCGTGGGTCACGCAAGGCGTGATGGCCCTCCTCCCTCCTCCCTCCTCCCTCCTCCTCCTCCCTCCTCCCTCCTGGCGTGCCGCAATGGGTGGGTGGGACGCATGCGGGCGGTCCTACTGGGGCCTTCGGTGGAGCTCCATGCGGGGCCACGACGCGCTGCACTGGGTGGGGGGGGGCGCACGCGGGCGGTCCCACTGGGGCCTTCGGTGGAGCTCCCCATGGGGCCACGAAACGCTGTAATGGGTGTGGCGGACGCATGCGGGCGGTCCACCTGGGGCCTGCTGGAGCTCCCTATGGGGCCACGAAGCGCTGTACTGCTTGTGGCGGGCGCATACGGGCGGTCCCCCTGGGACCTTCGGTGGAGCGCTCCCTATGGGGCCACGAAACGCTGCACTGGGTGGAGGGACCACATGCGGGCACACCCACAGGGGCCTTCGGTGGAGCTCCCTATGGGACCACGAAGCGCTGCACTGGGTGGGGGGACCGCATGCGGGCACCCCCACTAGGGCTTTCTGTGGAACTCCCTATGAGGCCACGAAACGCTGCACTGGGTGGGGGGACCGCATGCGGGCACCCCCACAGGGGCCTTCGGTGGCGAAACGCTGCACTGGGTGGTGGAACCGCATGCTGGCAGGGCCTTCGGTGGAGCTCCCTATGGGGCCACGAAACGTGTGAGGGGTGTGCCAAAGTGAGGGGGGTGACGGGAGGAGGGAAAAGGGGGAGGAGGAGGAGGAGGAGGAGGAGGAGGAGGAGGAGGAGGAGGAGGAGGAGGAGGAGGAGGAGGAGGAGGAGGAGGAGGAGGAGGGAGGAGGAGAGGAGAGGAGAGGAGGAGAACGCGGGGCACTACAGAATGTGTGGGAAAAACATATCGGCAGTGAGGGGCAACGATCGGGTGGGGGACTGGCACAGGGAGGAACGTCGACCTGGCATCGGCGATGCGTCGCCGATAGATCGGCGATAGGCCCCTGATGGCAAAGCCCCACGTTCCCAGGCGGGGTGGGGCTCATAGACCCCTTATCGGCGATCAGTGGGCGATGGGGGGCCGATGCGGCCCGCCCCAATATGCCTGTCCCCCCCTGCCGTTGCCCCTGGGCCGAAGGAGGAGGAGGAGGAGGAGGAGGAGGAGGAGGAGGATGGAGGAGGATGGAGGAGGAAGAGGGGAGGAGGAGGAGGAGGAGGAGGAGGAGGAGGAGGAGGGAGGAGGAGGATGGAGGAGGAGGAGGAAGAGGAGGAGGAGGAGGAGGTGGAGGAGGAGGAGGGAACCTGCGCCGACCAAGGCCCCCCCCCAAACCACACGACCCGCCACGGCGGCGGCGGACGCCCGCGGCGGCGGCGGCCGCTGCCCGTCGGGGCCGCGGCCGAGGGGGGCCGTGGCCGCCGGGCGGAGCGGCGGCGCGGAGGCGGGCACGGAGGACGCCGCGGGGGCCCGCGCCCGCGCCTCCGCCTCCTGGGGGAGCCGACGACGACGACGAACGACGGCGACGACCGCCACCACGACCACCACGACCACGACCACAACGACCACCACGACCACCACGACCACCACCACCACGACCACCACGACCACCACGACCACGACCACGACCACGACCACGACCACGACCACGACCACGACCACGACCACGACGACGACGACGACGACGACGACGACGACGACGACGACGACGACGACCACGACGACAACGACGACAACGACGACGACGACGACGACCAAGACGACGACGACGACGACCACGACCACGGCGACGACCACGACGACGACGACGACGACGACGGACAGCAACAAAAGACGGACAACGGACGACGGACGACGGCGGCGGCGAACAACGACGGCGACGGACCACGACGGCGACAGACGCAACGGCGACGAGAGACCTGCGGCGGGGAGCGGCGGGGGGCCAGAGCAGGGGTAGGCCCGGTGGCCCCGCCCTCCCCCCACCTTCCGCCTTGGATTCCGAAGCCCTTTGATTGTCGGCTTTCTTGGCCGTCTCATACTATGTTTTGGATTTCGTGGTAGTGTCACAGGTGCCCAAGATTGAAGAAACCTCTGGTTGCCATGGAACAACAATTCAAGCCCTGCGGGGACAAACATATCCTTGTGACTCTTTCCAAAATCCAAACAGCTTCGCGCGGAGGAAGTGGCCCCCTCATTCTCCACACCTGCCTCTCGCTCTCTCTCTCTCTCTCTCGTTATCTTCACTCTCTCTCTCTCTCTCTATTTATCTTCACTCTCTCTCTCTCTCTCGCTCTCTTCTTCTTAAGCGATAAGAACAAATACTAATCGGTAATAATGAATAGTAATCAATCGGAATCAACCGGAACCAATAGGAATGACTAAACAATCTGAATCAATAGCAAGGACTTGGAATCACTCGGAATAACTCTGAATCAATAGAAATCACTAGGAATCGATGGGAACAAGTGGGCATCAGTAGGAATCGATTGGAATCCACAAGAATCACTAAGAATCAACATGCAGCAATACGAATCAATAGAAATCCATACGAATCAATAATGAAAAATATGAATAAATTGGAATCACTAACAATCAATAGAAATGGTTCCTATCGGATCCCACTGATTCATGTGTTTCCTCTTTGGTCGTATTGAGTATTACTGATTCCTATTTTCATATTGACTCAAGTGCTTCCTATTGATTCCTATTGAATCCCATCGACTCCGAACGAGTCCTATGAATTCCTATTGATTCCCATTGATTCCGACCGATTCGTATTGGTTCCTATTGATCCTGAATAATTCCGAGTGGATTCCTAATCACCCGATTGCTCCCTATCAATGTCTAATGATTTATGTTTGACTCGTATTGGTTCCAACTGGTTCCTACTGAATCCGAGTGGTTCCTACTCAACCCTACCGATTCCCATTTAGTTATATTATCTTTGGAATAAGGAAAAATAACGAGAGAAAGAGAGAGAGAGAGAGGGAGAAAAAAAAGAGAGAGAGAGAGAGAGGGGTGGAGGAGGGGGGCATTTCCTTCGCGCGAAGCTTTTTTTTGAATTTTGGACAGAGTCACAAAGGTTATTGGTTTCCCGTTGGACTTGAGTGGTGTTTCAATGACAGTCGCAAGTGTTTTTCAATGTTGGGCCACAAACCAATGACTCTACCAAAAACCAAAATGAACAACCAAAACCAACAACAAATGTGAGACTGCACAAAAGGAACAAACCAAAACAACACATGCTTGCAAGATCCGCGGCGGGGAAGCCCGGCAGGAGTGCGGCCCTCCCTCCCCCACCCCCCGCCTCGGATCCCGAAAACATTTGAGTTTGGTCCCAACCATCCTGTGGTGTTGGGTACTCGTTTTGAAGAGATGGTCCCCGCGTTCCCTCCGTCCCTTCTTCCTTCCTCCTCCCCTCCTCCCTGCACCGCCCGCATGCGTCACGCGCACCAATTTCGGCACACCCCTCACCGTTTCCTGGCCCCATCGGGAGCTCCACCAAAGGCCCCAGTGCCACCGCCCGCATGCGTCACGCACACGCACACCCCTTACACGCTTCGTGGCCCCACAGGGAGCTCCACCGAAGGCCCCAGTGCCACCGCCCGCATGCGTCATGCACACCCATTTCGGCACACCCCTCACACGCTTCGTGGCCCCACAGGGAGCTCCACCCAAGGCCCCAGTGCCACCGCCCGCATGCGTCACGCACACCCATTTCGGCACACCCCTCACACGTTTCGTTGCCCCACAGGGAGCTCCACCCAAGGCCCCAGTGCCACCGCCCGCATGCGTCACGCACACCCATTTCGGCACACCCCTCAACCGTTTCGTTGCCCCACAGGGAGCTCCAACTAAGGCCCCAGTGCCACCGCCCGCATGCGTCACGCACACCCATTTCGGCACGTCCTTCACACGTTTCGTGGCCCCACAGGGAGCTCCACCCAAGGCCCCATGGCCACCGCCCGCATGCGTCACGCACACTCATTTCGGCACACCCTCACACGCTTCGTGGCCCCACAAGGAGCTCCACCCAAGGCCCCAGTGCCACCGCCTGCATGCGTCACGCACGCCCATTTCGGCACACCCCTCAACCGTTTCGTGGCCCCAAAGGGAGCTCCACCGAAGGCCCAAATTGGAGCTTCACCGAAGGCGCCGGTGGCTGCGTTCGCATGCGCCCACAGCACCCATTTAGGCACACCCATCACACGTATCGCGGCACCATAGGGAGCTCCACCGACGGCCCCAATGGCTGCATTCGCGTGCGCCCACCGCACCTCTTTCGGCACACGTCTCACGCGTTCCGTGGCCTCATAGAGAATTTCACCGACGGCCCCGGTTGCTGCTTCCGCATGCTCTCACCAGACAAATTGTGGCACGAAAAACAATAGGAAACAAGAGGAACCGATCGGAATCAATGGGAACCAATGAGAATCAGTAAAAATCAATCGGAATCCACAGGAATGACTAGAAACCTCTCGAGATCACATGGAACCCGTAGGAATCATTAGGAATCGATCGGAATCAATGGGCACGAACAGGAATTAATAGGAATCGGTTGGAGTCAATGGGAACCAATAGGAATCAACAGGATCCAATCGGAACCATCACGCACCACTAGGAAGTAGCAGGAATCCATAGAAATCCACAGGAACCAATAATAGTCAATAGTAACCAAGAGCCACCATTAGGAACCAATGGGGATTCCTTGCAACCACCGTGAAGCAATCGCAATCGATAGGGATCAATAGTAGTCACTTGGAGCCAATCAGAATCCATGAGGATCGATAGGAAACAGCAATCCTATCCCTATCTGGTGTTTGTTCGCTCCTTCTCTCTCTCACTTGCTCCTGTTGACCGTCACCGTTCCGTTATGCCAGTGTTTCTTACATGTTCCTCGTCCCATAGGGGATCCACGTGGGGGGCTAGCGTGTACATATACATTCGTGTGCAGGTGTATAGGTATACCTATATCAGTACATACATACCTACGTACATAGTCGTATTCATACATATTTAAATGCAACACATGACACACCCACGCATAACTCGAAAGCAGGGACAATCATACATGTATGTATATAAATATATATGAATATGTATGTATGTATATATATATATGTATACACACAGAAGTGCGATTGCATGTATAAACCTACAAAATGTATATGGACATGTTGGTCCACGCGGGCCCACACGGTGCGCTTCTACTACTCAAAGGTTTGCAACCGAGGTGGAACAGCATAGATGGTGCAAACTACGCAATGCAATCCATGCGGCGCGGTAGATGTGGCGCAGTGTACGTGGTGCGATTGAGTTCGTGGAATACGCTGTGCAATATAGCCTGTGCGATCTACGTTGTGCAAGATGCGCGGTTCAATATGTTGTGCAACAAACGCTGTGCGATATGTTCGACAAGTTACGTCATACAATCTATGTGATGTAACGTATGTATTGAAGCCGGACATATGCTTTCTATGCGGCGTTCCCCACGTGGTGCAATATATGCTGTGCGACCTACGGGGTGCCATATGCGCGGTGCAAACTGAAGTGCGCGATAGCGTTTACCGAACGTGTTGACACACCCCACGCTCTTGCAAACATCCCACCCACCTATGGTTTGCAAAACCCATGTGGTGGCGATTGAGATGCATGCTTGGCGTTGGCTGGTGCATCTCTGCGACCGCGCCAACCCCAGCACGCGCGCGCAGCGGCCAGCAATTTTGGCGCCACCGACGCCGCCGCGGTGGCGCTGGCCGCTGGTCGCGTCCCAGCGGGCACTTCACTGCGAGACGATGGTGGTAGAAACGATGTTGGTGACGATGTTCGCACAGACGAAGACGCGGCCAGTGCGGGCGCCGATGCTGATCACGCCGAAGATGATGACAGCGTCCTCGCGTCGATGATGAAGGTTTTTGGAAAGAGTTCGACATGCGCGCGCGGCCGACGCGCGAGAGTGGCCCACGTGGTTTTAAGTGACACGGACCGTGCCCCCGAGCACCCGCGCAAAGGCGTGCGAATGATGTCGGCAGGCGGCGCCAGAAGCCCGTTTGGCAAATGTCCGTGAACATGCTGAACAACCTACGTTTCTTAAGAATCCGCAACAATGCGCGCAAGCTTTTCTTGAAAACGGATGTTGCGAAACCGTGTGTGTTTGAGGTTGTGTTGGACATTCTGTTTCGCGCTACGAGACCGAAGGTTTCTTCAAGATTTCGGCACGCGCGCGCGACAACGCGCGCGTGCGCACTTCGTCCCATTTGGCACGCGCACAAAGGCGTTCGACCGATTTCGACATGCGCGCGCGAAACCCGTTTGGTAGTATATTCTGAAAATGTTGAGGCACCGATCGTTTCCCTAAGAATTCGCAAGACCGCGCGCGCACGTTTTCTGTTTTGAAAACCGTGTTGCGAAACATTGCGTTTTAAATAATATTGGGGGCACTCCATTTTGAAATCCTTCCGCAACCTCAGGTTTGTAAAGGACTTCGGCAT